GTACAAATCGGCAATTTCATACTTTAACCCCTATTATTTAACTAATTGGAAACTAAACAATTTAAAAACTAAATCAAGCGTATATTTGTTTTTTCAAATAATCCAACGTTTGGGGCCCTTGCATTGGTCAGGTACTGTGTAACGTGGTTATTCCGTTTACGGAAAGCCAAATTTTGACCACGACCTGCCTAAACGGTTTCCACTCTCATGAACCCCATTAACATCTCATTATACAAATCGGTTCGAGCCGTTTTGAGTGCGAGAATTTGCACTGTATATATATGGTTTAATATATTTTTTTCCTAAATTTTTTTCGTTCTCGTTTCATTAATTCTTGTTTTAAAAAAGGAGTGATAATCAAAACCCTCGCGCTCTGTTCTCATGCTAGCGACTGGCTGACACAAAAGCTCGAAATACGATTTTTGCTTTCAAGTTCTGTTTACACGGAGACGTTCAATATTCAAAGGCGAGGCGATTATCGCTTACGTGGAAGGGTGATTGCGAATGTTCAGACGAGGAAAGTTTTTTATAATCTTTCGATAATCATATCTTCGAGACAGGGAAACTCTCTCCATCTAACTGGGCCTTTACCTAACCACTGACTTTCATAGTTTTATTGTAAACTAGTACTAGTTTAGTAACACTACATGATCTGTACAATGCTTAAATAATAGTACGTTATGTATTAAGGGCGGTAAATAAGAAATTATTACGGGAGTTTGTTAGGAGCCCGAAGCTGAACGTTGAGGTGGCTTTAATAACTCGAGTTTTGTATTTTTTTAGCGCCCGTGATACATGCAATGTTTTTCATATTCACATTCACATTTGCGAGGACATAAATACAATGTTTATGAATAAATATGGTTCATAACACAACAATTATGGATTTTGCATATGGCGGAGTTTTGTTTTTTTTTATCAACAGATGGCCAGCTAGCTAATTATTCTTCCATAGATAATTTAACTCAACAAAACAACTCGAACTAAAATGTTGCTAAAAGGAAAGACGCATACAGCATTGATGAATTGTAAAAAAATTGATAAATTTGTATATACAAAATAATTAAAATCAATTATAAGAAATTCTTAATAATAGTATTAAAGTACTATGTGGCTGAATTGCAAATAAATTTCTGTTTGGATAACATTTTAAGCGAGTATTTTAGTTTTGAACGTATGTAACCTCTTTGCTTGAACTTGAACCTGACCTATGTAAGGAAGTATGTCGTGTACAAATTAAGAAAAAACTCCTTACCGACCATGGCTGTAAAGAAAAAAGACGCGAGGGTTCTATTTTTATTTATGAGCAAGTGTGATGAAAATTATTATTATTATACAACCCCCTTTTTTTCGGATTGGATTTCTAGAGGTATAGGCCACTTTAATTTAGACTTAATTAAAACGAAGTGTTGTTATTGTCAGCCGAGCGCAGCGCGTTGAACAGCACGGCTGTGGAGGAATGGGTGCGAGCCGCGGACCTGTCGCTGGTAGCACCTGTGCCGCCGTCGCCGGCGTTGCTTCGCCTGTTCGTCGACGCGATCTCCGACCCGCCGCCTGGTACTACGACGCACTACGTACAAGCCTCTTAGCGATACACGACTAACGAGCTAAAACATTATAGCACACGGAAACACAAGAACGAACAATGTCTTAAAAGTTTTTTTGTGGAATGCTAGAATGGACAGACGCGTGTCGCGGCGCGGCTGTGGCGGGGTGCGGCCGGCTGTGCATCCGGTCCCGGTCGGCGGCGGCCGCGACGGCGCCGACGCTGGCGCAGCTGCTGCACGACGCCACGCAGCCGCTCTGCGCGCGCGTCAACGCGCTGCTCGTGCTCACAGACATCTGCACCAGGTCGGTGTCGGCTACTTCAATTAAATGTAAATAGTAGCAGTAGAGTTCCCTGTGAAAGAGTTAGTCCAGGAAAGTACTGCCACCTTACTTATTTTCGTCGCCAAGCAGATCACTGCTGCTGACATCAGTCAGCATTACTGCGTTCCGGTTTTGAAGAGTAAGGGTGCTGGTGAAATGACAGGCACGTGAGACTTACCAAGTTATGTCTCAGGGTAACACACGTAGTGGCAGTGCCCCTCAGATCTTTGCGATTACTATGGACAGGTATATCGCTGAACACCAGAGCCACGACTGGTTCCTCCGGTCACTTGGTATCATAAAAATAATTGCTACAAATGGGATGGCAAATTCCAACGAGCCAATGTCATTCCGTTATACACGCCGTGTATCGTCGGGATGAAATGATATTCCTCGATAGGTACACGTGTATCGTCGAGCCCCTGCTGTTCAGCGTATGCAACTGCCTGGCCTCGACGGCGGCGGTGCCGCTGCGCCGCACCGCGGCGCGCTCACTCACGAGGTTGCTGCTGGCTGGCTACCTGCGCCTACGCACCCCGCTCTACTACCGGTACATCAACATTAGTTATTTCTTACCCACTTAATCGATATTCGTACTTTTATTGTTTTTTCACCCAAACATATCTGAATATATAAAGCTTTTGTTATGATTAAACATGAACATGGTCTGTAATTCCCTGTCAACATATTACATTATTCGTGTGGTCCAGTTGTAAAAAGAATAACGATAAAAAAGTCGAGAGAATGAACGTTTCTTTGTTGAATTATTTCTAAATTTGTTATCCATGATAGGTACTGCGCATTGCTGGCAGACGAGGACCACGACGTACGTGAACCCGCCGAGTATTACGTCACGTGCTGCCTCACCACCGAAGCCATTTACCACCACTTCGTCGACTGCATCATGCATTACAACCAAGATCAGGAAGGTATACAGCCCCATATCCTTCTACATTAGTTTTCATTATAGTGACCCTCCCTACCGACCCTTAAGGCTATACGAGAAAGGCACTATAACCTGTGCGCGCACAGGAACCTTATAAGTTCATGTTCTGACCCCAGATCAGCCAGTGTACAGGGTTGTCACAAACCTCTGCCACTTGACTTCATCCTTTAGGAACTTACTGGGTGGTCCTATAACGTCAACGGTAACGTCTGCACTGTGTCCCTACAATCCGGTTCTTCGAGAGGCTAGTGCCTCGGGTGAGCCGGCCCGGGTGCGTGTACAGTACACTTCCTATTTTCCAGATACGTACCGGAGCTGTAGGCACGCTCACTTCCCGTTGTGCATTGCACAACTAGCGGTTGCCACCTCTAGTCAACTCTAAAGTCCACTACCAAATGTCCTCATTGATGGCGGAGCTGTAAGGCACGCTCACTTCCCGACGCCGAAAAACGACGTCTCTCCAGTTCCAAATAATCTAAGCGGCTGGAGGGACCAGAGAATATCTTACTTATCCTCTACTAGCTCTCCGGGCTAGTGCTGGAGATGCCAGTCTCAGTGTCCTGCGATAAAGTCCGGACATAGCTTAACATAGTACGAAGGTATACCGTATTGCTTCGTAATAGGCGCGGAATGAAGACGCTCAACAGTTATCCCTTTATAGTTAAGTTAAAACAGCCCAAATATAAGCCTGCCATTTGTCAATAATTTCCTCTGATTTATTTTTGCAGAGTGTACGCTATCTTTCGACTCCCGGCAGCTGATTTACGACGTGATGCTGCAGCGATTGTCCTTAGTTCAAAAGCTGAACCTGCAATGCCGCTTGGCGCGGGAAATTTTGGAACACGCGGCCGACGTTACCGATGAAGGCGACGGTGAACTACCAGCATCGCTTAGTGCCGCCTTGATGGACACTATCACTTTACTCTGCGGACCTAGGATGAAGCTGCCAAGTAAATTAACGCGTACTTTTTAAGTCTGACGCATCACACGCAATTTGAGCTTTGTCAACACATGTTTTTATAATAACACACTAGAGCAAAAACAGTTCGTATAATTGACTCAGTAAATTGTTTTTTTTTTTTTTTGGTAACGCTATTTCATAAAACAACAGCCTTTAGGGGTGGCTTCCGGTATCAGGCATCTAAATGCTGGAACAATCTGCCTCCTCCAATTAGGCAGTCAATCTCGATTCTCGCATTTAAAAAGGTTATGAAAAATCTGTTGATGGAAAACTAACTCATGCTCTGATGCCGCGGATGTTCCTGACTCGTTTTCTTACTTTTTTATGTTTATGTATATTTACTACAAGCTTTACGCCATTTTGCTTATATGTGCATCCTACGTGTATCATAAATTTGTAATGTGGCGTACAACAGATTCGATATCCTGAACCAATCACATTAGCCTTGCCGTACAATTATTCCAGATGTCCTATTTCTAAGATCTTGCATTGGTCCTTGTGTAAAACAAATGTAGGCTTTAATTCACCTATCAATAGAATATGTAGAAGCTACAATGATTTGAGAAAAACATATGATGCGGATATGTTTTCTGACCCTTTAACAGTATTTAGGCACAAGCTAACTTCACATATTAAAAAATAATAAAATTAACACTAGTAGTATTATAAAATATAGTATTGTACGAGTATTTAAATTTGTATTAATTAATTGTTTTTTTCGCTTTTGTTTTTAATTTTCAATTTATGTAAAAAATATATTATGAAAGTATTTTTTCTTTTTAAAGCATTGTGTAACTATGTCAGCGTTGTTGTCGTGAAATTGAATATATATAATCCAGTGTGTTTCGAATGTTTTGTACGTCTGTAATTGTCATTTGTATCAGTTCTAGCCTAATGTCTAATTTTTGTTTATTGTCAAATACATGTGATGTTGATATGCCTAATATAATAATAATAACAACAGAGGATGCACACAGCATGTACCATTTTCTTGAAACAGGAATGACTGAAAATCGACGTCTGTCTCGTCCGATTTTGCCAAGTCGTATCCTTATTCTCTTTGCTTTTAGTTTTTAAGTATTAGATTTAAGCGTGTATAGTGACTGAATTTATTGAACAAACGTTTTTTCTTTCTTTCTAAATGGCTAAAATAGACGTTTTTGTTCAGAATATTAATTAAAATACACCATCTTACAGGAAAACCACAACGCGACGGCGATGCGAATGACATAGATGATCTGCAAGAAAGGGTTACTACAAACATAGTATCTCATGTAAGTGATGAATATTGGATAGAAAGAGATAGATATATAGAACTATACTAAGGAATGAGGGAGATAAAATGTAGTGTTTTTATTTACATCATGATGTTCTGTAATGGTGTGCAAATAATCTGTATAGATTTATGCACATTGTTTTGTTAATTATGTTAATTACCAGTAGAGTTTCTTGTGATAGTAATAGTTCGTCCAGGGAAGTACTGCCACCTTACCTATTTCTGTCGCCAAGAAGTAATGTGAGCATTACTGTGTTCCAATTTTGATGGGTCAGGGTGCTGGCGAAATTACATTTAGCACATGGGGCTTGTCAACTTGCTCGTCCCGTCGTTTGATATTATAAAAAGTTCTTGCTTGGACATTGAACGAACGCTCCAAACTAGTTATTTTATTAACTTGAACTACTAGGGATTACTAGTATTATTATTTTATATTAAGAAAAGACTGACCTTGAAATGCTTATTTTACAATATTTCCGCTCAGAAAATGAAAAGCACAGTGGCAGAAGTGGTCGTGCCGGCGGTGCTACGGTTGTACTCACGTTTGGGTCCAAATGGCGGACAAGTCGCCGCCTATCTAGTGCGCATCGCTAACGACCTGCTCAATGACTATCGACAAGAGGTAACAAATACAACTCACGCCTTTACTAACTGCTAAGTTACGAAATAATATAATTATTGTTGGAATTATACTTCGTTTCAATCCATTTTGAACAAAATGTAAACAAACAAGCCACTGACCCGACCGTAGACGGTTTGGTGATAGCCAATTGTAATGCCTGAACTGCCTCCGTGGCCGAACGGTTACCATGCCGGACTGCCACGCAGAGGTCCTAGGTACGATTCCCGGGCGAAATATTTGTATGGCCTACATTTATTTCTCTCGTGAGTTTGGGTGTAATTTGTGTTTGTCTATGTATGTGTCCATGGCACCCGCAACTCAGGGTTTCCCTAGTGCGGGGCTATGTTGAGTGTGTGCGTTATTATTATAAAAAAAAAATGCCATCTACAAATCGATTAATTAATTGAAAGAATCGATTTGTTCAATTGAGTCATACTAGCAGTTTTTCTTACACAACTTATATAAGCATATTTAAAATTTCTGAAATCTTAATTTTAAATGCTCCTTCAAATCCTTACACTTGGATACTCATTCGATTGCGATTGAAATGTTCGATTTACTAATCAATTTCAAAAACTTTTAATTGAATGAATCGAATGTTTTTTTCGTACAGCAATATGCAACTATGATGTGAAAAATAACCAAATATTTAATATACACTTATGAATAGCATCATAAAATCTATTTGAAAAATGGTAGTAATGGTAATCGTATTTGAAAAATGGTAGTCCATTTTTCTAATACGATTTTACGATGCTCTTCAAATGAATATTGTTGGAAAAAGTGATGAGATATCAAATAGAAATCTTTGAAATATACGTGAGTGTTACTTATTCGATTTATTGAATGATTGCTTTAGAATTTTAACCAAACAGTTTTATTTACTTTTTGGTCAAAATGGATTGGAACAGACTAGTATAAATCAAATGTTCTTACTAAGTAGTTCGTTGATGGGAACTCCATCAACGAATTTTCGGTGCACGGGTAAACGTACTATCTTTTTTGCATGTTTTTGTCGCGCTGCCATATTTAAATTAACACGTATTCTTTTTTGTAAAATATTCTTTTTTAAAGTATTCGTTCATAGCTTTCAGCGTCTCTTGTAGCATTCACTCCTTTCCATTACTTCCAACAATTTTATAAAGGAATATAAATAGAAAGCTGATATAGTACATTGTGTATTAAGGGCGGTAAATAAGGAATTATGAACGAGACTCTATTAGAAGCTCAAAGTCGAAGACTGAGGGCTTTCGGAGTCGAGATTTGTAATTCCCATACCGCCCGTGTTTGACATTGTCCTTGTCAACATTTATTTTATCATTTATTTTTCATTAAAGAGGCCACAAGCCCAGAAATTTACTTGTTAAAACTAAGGTCGTTGATTCAACCGTTTAAGTGGGGACATCAATACTTTAAAATCCTACTGGACCCACTAGTGGAGCCTAGAGTGGAACCAACAATCCGAAAGGATGTTACATACAATGGTTTTCATCACTTTTGCGGAGAAATAAATACAAAGATAAATGCAGGAAAAATAAATATCGCTCCACAACCAACGATATCTATGAACAATATATATAACACAACAATTACGGATGTTGCAAATGGCGGGTTTTTGTTTTTTTTTTCTTACAAACAAATAGGCAGCTTTTCTTTCACACAACTCGAACTAAAATGTTGTAAGAGGCAAAAACGCATGCAGACATGATGTATTATATTAGATATAAAATATTTAATTTCAAAATACTAAAAATACTGCAGAATTGAAATTTATAAAATTAACTTAGTAAAATATAATTAAATTGCAAATGTTTACTTTTTTTTCTATACTGTTTCGAGTATATGCGACATATATTCAGATTTTTCAAGCGTAAAAACTTTTTGCTTAATCTTCTTGACTTTGAGAAGTACAATGCTGTTGGATCCCGGCTGAGTCCGTCATGAATTAAACTCGTAATCTTCCGTTTATTGAAGCTTCTTATTCTTAAGAGGACTGTATACATTTCTATTCTTACGAACACCTTATCCTAACAATCGTGATTTATGTCTATCTGACTTAGTTCCGTTATCTCACAAATATGAATGAACTCGAATCAACATATTATTACAAAATTCACTTATATATGTACCGATACGTTGCCTCCCACACCGTACAGGTCCTATCAAGTGCCGCGGACGCCATCCGGCCAATCTGAGCCCCTGAATTATTTACGTAATTCTACTCATATTTGCTCTGACCGACCAGACACGTACGGCCGTCCATAGCAAGTGCAATTAAATAATAAATCCATTATTACCATAAAGGGGTTATGTAATGATATAGCCCGTGGGCGTAATTTAGGATATTACGGTCGACTTTGCCTGCATGTTATGACACTGCTTACGAGCAATTGTGATGAACAAAACACTTACCCACCCTCCAGCGCAGGATATACGTCTGTAAAGCGTGTATAATATGATTGTGTTTACAGATCGAAGAGTTAATAGAAAACGACGAAGAGTTAGTGCAACGCGTGCGTCAGTTCCAAGAGACGATCGGAAAGGAGCCGTCGTTCGGGAACACGCGTAACCTCGTGACTACGTCGACGACGCATGAACCCGAGACGCCGCGAGCACCTCGCCGCCGCGCCACGAGGAACGCGCGATCACCGCCACGCAAGCGGACGCTGCGCATTTGATCCGGGCTCACTAAAGCCACAGGAGCTACACGAGCAGTCGCAAACGCTCCGCCACCGAATACGACACCGGCTACTGCCGGTGCACCAAAACAGCCACATATCAATAAGTCGCGAGTCCGTGTTCTCTCAAACGTTAAAGTACCGTCGAAGGTCAATAGTGTTAGAGTAAGACAGGCTGCACGTGTTACGGGTACACCTCCAAGTGTACTGCTAATCAATTCGAGTGCCAGCAGAGCTTCCAATTCAGAACGTACTGAAACCAACATTGCTGTACAAACGTCCAAGTCTTCAACTAAACCCAATAGAGACATCTTAGTAAACAGTCGAAACGGCGTTGTACTTAATAATAAAAATCAGTCAAATAAAGAGTCCAGTACCGTAAATGAAACCTTTGAAAACATTGCTGTACAAACGCGCAGGTCGCCCACTGCACCCAATATTGACGCATTAGTAGACGTTACACGTACTAACAATGCACTAAATAAGAAGTCCAATTCCATAAATAAAACCAAGAAAACTAAACAAGCGCGCATGACATCAACTGATTCCAATGTTGATTTAGTAGTAAACCATCCAAATGCTATTACAGTTACTAGTAATGAATCAACTAAGAAGTCCAATTCCACAAATGAAAACAACAATACTGAACAAGCGCGCAAGGAATCAACTGAAACCAATATTGATTTACTAATAAACCATCCAAATGAAGTTATAGTTACTAATAATCAATTAACTAAGGAGTTCAATTCCGTGAATGTACCATCTACAATGAAAGAAAATACATTGGTAAGTACCTATTCAACATTGAATTACGATGGACCGTCCACGAGTACTGGATATTATTCGACCATACATAATATACGTTTTATGGCTTATAGGACAAACACTGCATCGAATGGGAGCTCCACAGACAGCGACTAATTTTCCGCATTGTTTTATTATTATAGTTTATTTTTTACGTGTTAGAGGTAATTACATTATTATGAAAGATACTCTTATCTAGCCGTCTAAAAGCAGACTCTGTATATTCGGTGCAGCCTGTATGTAATCTAATTAGTCTCCGCAGACTTCATTTTTACACTACGGCTTGGGTTGGCTGGAAGAGATCTCTTCTAGAGATAAGCTCACCTTTGTATATGTAATTTGTGTTTCAGGCATTGACCTACCAACAAAAGAACATCGAGTCTAATACAAAAACCACAAAAAAATGTCCGAGGTTAACCTATACAAACGTAGTGACATGTAACGAAATATAAGAAACTAAAACATTTAATTTAAATTGCAACGTCATAGCAGTACTGACTAAATTTGCTTACAACAATTTAAGGGTCCAAAAACACCATATTCAGCTTCTACTGGAAACTTAACAAAATGCACCATATTTAGCTTCGACTGAAAATTACTGGAACACAAGAGTAATGGAATAGCCTTCCTCGTAAATATTAATTAATTAATTTTTTTTTATATATTATTATGTCGAATTTTGTACAAATTCACTTAAAGGTATAATAAAGAGTTGGGCAGATACATACATACAATTATTACTACAAATATGAAAATAAGTGTGTACTATAAGAAATGTACCGAAATTCTAACTAAACGTAAACTCAAATATCCGTAATTCCAATTTATAACAAAACCGTTACGCTTTCGAGTAATTTTGATGCTTTTTACATAGACAAAATTAGCTTTTGTTTTGTAATCTTCGTAAAAACACATGAAAATTCGAGGTAATGTTATTTCGGGCAAATGTATTTTCTGACTTCTGATAGGTAATCCCATGCCGTAAAACGAGTACAACAATATTTTGTTAGTTATAGCTAACGTTTAATTATAAAATCATTTTGAAAATAGGATTAAAATCAAAGCAACTCTACAGTTTCTTTATTCTAAATATCTCAATCGCTTGTGGTTCGTACAATTGAAAATGACCAAGAAGTTTATATGAGCTTCTTGAAACTGACGTAATAGGTGTCTTTCCATCTTTTGCGCATGCAATGAGTAGAAAAAGGACAGTTAGCTATTTCACCATTTCGTGTGCTTTTGTAATTTATATTTACGATGCAGTTATATATAAAATAAAAACTATAAAACTGTACAAAATAACACTTTTAAATGACAACTATGATAACACAATATATTTGTTTAATGAAAATATGATACAAAATCCTGTTTTCACACTTTACTGCAGTAATTTTAACAAGTTATTATTTGTACTGCATATATTGGTACTGCATGATTGACAATCGCGCTGTCACTCGAACAAACGAAGACTATTGCGCGATTGACGCTCTGTATGCGATTTTAACGCCCTACAGTTGCGGACACTTTTTAGCGCGAACCCGACGTCCATTTATTGGTAGGTCAATGGTTTCAGGAGTCGTTGTGCAATAATCATAGTAATTTTAAAATAGATTAACCTGGTTACAGGGTATTCAGTTGATAGTTTGTAATAAAATATCATCCATACTGCTTTGACCTAAAAGTTTAGACCGTTAATATAAAAGTTAAAAGCGTGGCTTAAGGGACTTTTCCACAGGCGAGGTGAGACGAGGAATAAAATTGGTATGGCAAAACTTCAACTCTCCTAGCGCATCTTCGGTAGAAATGGTCTGATTTTACCCATTTCCACCCAAAATATACAATACGGAATTTGGCATAATTCCATACTTATTACAAATTTCGATGTAAAAAATCTTTTTTAGACGAAAAAGAGGCAACTCCATACAATAAACCTTGCAATGCTGTGGATTCTCATCACTAAGGATGTACATTATGATTCGATTTTTATGAAGATTGATTCAAGTGCATACAATCAAGATAAAATCTAACGATTTTTTGCATCGATTTATTTCAATGCCATTTTAAAGCGAATCGATTCGTTAGAGAGGCAAATCGAATCGTGTAGAGCAAAAGCAATAAACATTTTGTAATAATAACGTTCCATTTGAACTAAACTCATTTTACAAGAAATATTTAGTAAATAGTTTTTATCTTCGATTTTGGGTTTTAACTCAATTTAAACCGGCGGTAACAAGACGCCGGTTTAAAACCCGGGCGCTTGCCCATCTAAGGCTACATCTGATTCTTCTTTCGTTAACATACGTAATAATAATAATTTACGGGAGATGTTAATTATTAAATGTGTGTATTATTAAATACGAGGATGAGGGAGGCGAGAATTGAAATATTAGTTGATGTAATATTCAACGGTATTGCTGGCTACATAGAATATTACACTGCAATGGAAATGTCTCGGGTCGCGCGAGCTATTAATGGTAATTTTTGGTGGATATAGGCTATTCTCGTCTCGCCTCGCCGGTGGAAAACCACCTTTATTCCAGTGGGACCATGGTTGAGATTTTGAAATTTGACTAGTCAGGTAAAACTCGACTTTTATCGGTTCTAGTTTCAAAAAAACTAGATTGTCATTCCCCCGTTCAAAAGTTTGTTACTGTCTGTGTTTTACTGTCTATGCTGGAATAAGCTTATTTCCTACCTAGCTTAGATCTGATTACACCACAAAAAAGTCGTGATGTAGTCGGTTCTACGCCATATTAAAGTTATTAAGGTGTTTTACTGTCCAATCTGGAATAAGCTCATTCCAGAGACACCATTTTTATGAATTTAAACAAGTAGCTTCATTGTTTAAAGGATTTCTAAAGTTTATTTAAAATTGCGATTCTAAAATTTCTAAACAGAAGATACTACTGATTTATTATTTCACGGCTATACCTGTGTTAGTCCCGGAGATCATATACATATTATGCATAATATACACATACAGCCTTTGTTTTTTTTAAATGCTGGCAATGGTATTCGAAGGTTTTAATGGTATTTAGTTTTCAGTACAAGCAAATTAGCAAAAAATATTCAGTTACTTCTCCATAATGATATTAGGATTTATCGATTTCACATAATTCGAGCCACCTTGCATTTTTATTCTTATAGGACTTGAATAAACATATTACTGTCATCGAAGACAGTTTTCTCCGGATTTACAAATTCAAATTTTCAACAAGGACACATTAAAATGACGTTTATAATAGTATACCAGTTTCAAAATAGCATAACGGCTTTTAATCATAGAAACGTTTTTAAACTTAGAACATTTAGTACTGAAAATGCAAAGTGGCTCGAATTGTGTCCCGGAGTGTATTAGTGTATGGGTGCGGTTCGTAAGATATACCAATAAATGACTTATTTTTGATCGATATAACGCTCAACGGATATTATTAATTTATGGTATACAGACATTTGACATATTATTACATAATATAAAGGTCATTGGGTATAATAATGGTATAAAAGACATTCAATAATTAGGATCGAAAACACATATCGACTCATCCGTAGAACAAAGATCTATGTGCAAGACTAATTCTTCTCAGGACATAGTACATTTCGTTCGTTCTTCTTCGCTGTGGATGTCAGATCGACTGTTGCTCGATTTTATATTTCCGAAATGCAATAAGGTATATAAATTCTCAAAACACCTTTACGTAGGCCTTAGTTTGAATAACGAAATTATTCTCGTAACGTACTTATTCTCTTTTCGCTATATAATCACATCGGACTCTGTTCTTCGGATGAGTCGATATAATAATCTTTTCAAATTCAAATTCAAAATAATCTTTATTTCATAGGTAAGCATTATTACATTTGAAATCGTCACAATAGTTAAACTCTACCGCTCATTTGTAAGGCAGATTCCCTTAAGAAGAATGAGCAAGAAACTCTAGGGGTTACTCTTTGTAAATAACATTTACAATATTTTTTTATTTTATTTGAAACATCAGAGATCGAGATTACCTCCATGAGCTAAACGGGTACTACCACGGATTTTTGACATCCAAGTACGCAGAAGTTTTAGTATAAAGTTTTTGTTTCACTATAGTTTTAAACCTCGTGAAAGGCAAATTTTGTATATCAACCGGAATCTTGTTATAGAAGCGTATACATTGCCCCTTAAATGATTTTTTGACTTTGTGAAGACGACTATCAAGAAAAGCTAGTTTATTTTTATTCCTCGTTATGTCTGTCACTATTTTTCATAAAGAAATTACTGTTTCGTTTTAATATAAATTACATTTTCATAAATGTACTGTGAGGCTAGTGTAAGAATGTTAATTTCCTTAAACTTATCTCTCAAAGATACTTTTTTTAGAAGTGATACTTCCCCTAGGTTAGGTTAAGTTAGAACTGCGACCATAACGATGCGCGAGCCGAGCGAGTGTGTAGCGGCAGCGGCCAGCGAAGCGCCAATACTAAGTTTCGATGCGAAATCAGTAGGTATTTAGATGAGAAATCCTATTTTTTGTATGAAAACGTTATTTTTGATGGACATAAGTTGATGTGTATTTATTGAGACTTTTTGTGAAATAACTCCACTAGTTTTGTTTTATGATTGACGTGTATTGTTTTTTGATATGACATTAAACATTCTTCCATTTGCTAATTTATTCACTAAGGCGCTTCAACTATTTGTAAAATGTAATGTGTTATATTATAGCATGCCATAGTGCCTGACCATAGTCGAGTTTTTGAAATTTAACTAGGCAGAGAAAGGGTCTCTATTTAGTGGGTTCTAGTTGCAAAAAACTAAATTTAGTCGGTCCGCCTGTCAAAAGTTATAAGGGTATTTTCCTGTCCACTCTGGATTAAACTTATTCCAGCGGCACCATTTCTCAATGTCAAGAACCACAACACCTTGCTTAGATCTGATTACACTAAAAAAGTCGTGATTTAGTCGGTTCTAGTTGTAAAAAACTAGATTTAGTCGTTACGCCGTTTTGAAGTTATTAAGGTGTTTTACTGTCCACACTGGTATAAAATTTTTCTGGCGGAACCATTTTTGAATCTTGAGAACCACAGCTCTTAGCTTAGAGATATGATTCCAACAAGAAAAAGTCGTGAATTAGTCGGTTCTACTAGCTAAATTTTAGAATTAGATCGCCCCTTTGTTTAGAAGATACAACCGATTTGTTATTTCAAGATTATACCTATGTTAGGGAGATGCCACACGGGCGTTGCGTCGTCGCAACTGCGTTGATTTCAACGGACTTTCAAATCTAGTTTTTTGCGACTAGAACCGACTAAATAGTAACTTTTTGTCTGGCTAGTCAAATTTCAGAAATTCTTCCATGGTCACGCTGAAATAAGACACGCGCTATATTATTTGATACATTGTACTGGTAATACTTATACCATTACTTCATTATGTTACCTAATCATTATTTATCTAATGTTTGTTATACTGAATGTTTATTATTGCACATTGAAATTATGGCTTCTGTTGTTATATTTCTTATTGATTATATTCAGTGAGTGATTATATCCTTTAAATAAATTAATCAAATTATAAATTAAAATAAATTATATCAAATGTTGTTATACCAAGTGAAAATAGATTATTTGTTGTTATATCTTTCATTACACACCCATTAGTGTATGTATGTCGTGTTGGGCTCCTGGCTTACACGAGCCGAACGACACGCGTGGAACACAGTGGCGTATGGCGTACGACTATTGATTAGAATTCATTGAATAATGAATGAATGACTAAATTGAATAAACGATGACTATTACCTATATAGGATAAAAAAAACAATTTTCGGATCTAAACTCCAAGCCTGACTAGTCAATTTTAAAAAACTCTACCATGGTCACGCTGCGTGGGAATAAGCCACGCGCAATAATCAATAGACACGCTGCAATTATATCGAAATAAACATAGATAATGTAAAAGACACCCCCGTTGGCATAACCGCTCAATGTAGGAAATGGTGCTACGGTGGTGCTAAATACGTTCTATTGTGGTGAAAATCTTTGATAGGTAACCGTTTACGGTTATAAATGAACGAATATTTTGTATACTAATGTGTAATTGTGATTGAATTGTTATTCATGTGATTATTAACAATTAAATATGAAAATATTGTTTTTATACCTCGTATGTATTTGGCGATTACATTTTATATTTTTCTAAATTGCGATTGCTCAGCGATCCTATTTCTTATATTAATTATTATAATAAATTTTACTGTTAATCAAACTTATGGAATCGTAATAACTTTAAACAAATAATAAATGTGAAATCATAAGGTAGTTTTATTAAAACAACTCTTCCAAAAATTAGAGATTTATTGAATTGTATACTTACAACAATAAGTAACAGACATTTAAACTTGCTAAACAATAAATAGGTATTTATTGATGTTATAATAAATATTCTTATTAATTAACACAAACAATTATTATTAAGAAATAATGATAAATCGCAACTTTTTCCTTACCCATTGAGTGATAGAAAAAAATATTGTTGCCATCTTTACAAATGGGATGAGTCAAGCAACATTACTCAGATTCAATTTTACAAGTAAGTCGCTTTCATTTTCTATTTTCAATTCTTTATTGAATGCTTTCTTGAGTAAAACATCGATGGCTGCTTCTTCTGAAATAATAATTTATAGCGAGTCATCATCATTGTCGGCATTAATCGAATGTAATATATGAAATCTTACCTGTGACTTGAATTGCGAGTAATTGGTGAACAATGTGCCTTGCGGTAATCTTGAACAGGTCTCTACTACTAATCTTCTTTTTCTTATAATACGGCATGAGTAACTTTACAACAAGGGACGCAACATCTAACTTTTCCGATTTTTTTGAAGGGTCTTCTTTATCTTGCCTCTTCTCATTGAAATGTTCGTCAGACTTAAGATGTTTTTCTTTTCGGTCCTCTATTTTACTATGTCGTTTATCTTTTCGCTCCTTTACACAGTGTTTATCTTTAGTCTTACTACTTAAGCTTAATTTATGTCTTTTAGATTCTTGTGACTTATGTTTACTTGTCGAATGCGAAATATCCTCCTCTGTCGATTTCACTTTCTGTTCAACTTTTTTCTCCTGTACAATGTCAGGTTCAGGCGGCATTTCAGAGAATTGTTTCAATTCTTGTAAAACTTTGTCAGCTTCTATGCTTAACTTGTGTGCTTTATCGAGCTTATTGTCATCAAGTTCTGTGATTGAGCGGTTTAACTCTTCAGAAATGTTTATTTGTTGTTGTGGCAAATTATTCTCTAAAGTCATAGTGGTACTCGTTCCAGAAGTCTCTTTTTCAAAAACTTCGGTATCCTTAGAATTTGTAGGCTGTTTGTCTTGTGCCTCTTCTTCGTTGTTAATTAGCTGTTCTAAACCTTCATCAATGATTAATTCTTTTTCAGAATCACTACCAGATAAATCACCAATAATGGATGTTACGTCTTTTGAATTTGAAGCATTTTCAGTTTTATGTTTGTCGGGCGTTCTTTTATGGGACTTCTTTCCATCCTTTTCCTTGAGTTTGTTATGTTTACTTTCGCTAGATTTGGCTTTAATTTCATGCTCCCTTTTGTATTTTTTGGAATCTCGATACTCTTCGTTATCTCTCCTTAATTCTTTTCTTGGGGATTTTGTTTCGCCTGACTCACTTTTTATACGTTTGCCTTGTTCTGATGCAAGGTTGTTTTGTTTATTTTCACAGTGGTCTGTTTTTGTCGATTTTGATTTATGTTTTTCTATTTTACCTTTATTATCACGGCCGATTTTTGAAGATTTTGAATTATGTTGCTGCTCTTTAATTGGTTCCGAAAATTTTGGTTCTATTTTTACCTTTTTGTCATCTTTTGATTCTGAATCGCTGCCTGAAGAGTCGCCAAAGAGAGCTTTGATCTTTCTTTTCGCAGTTGGCTTTACTTTTTTGGGAGATGGGGATTCTTTGACTTTGGAGACATTGTCGTTGTGGGGACGTTTGTTACTTTCATGTTTAGTGTTATTATTCTTACTATCGTCAAATCCTTTAGAATCGGAAGGTACTCCTTTGAGGGTTATGTTTATAACAAAAGTTTTTGTTATATTGTTTTGTCCGTCTTCTTTATCGTCATTATCAGATTGTTCTAATTCGTCAATTTTAAGTGTAGTATCTTCATGAATATTTCTTTGTTGATTATCTAAATTTTCTGTTTCTTCTAATTTAAGGGTGGTGTCTTCAGGGTTCACATCTCTTTCATGTGTAACAAGATTATCCCCTGCACTTTCATCAGGCGACGAGCGCGGAGTTTTAACTGAAGCTTTTTGAAAAAAATTTGAAAGTCTTGTTTGTGTCATTGGATCTTTTTTAAATGAATTTCCTTTTCGTTTGGTTTCTTTGTCAGCTTTTGATAGGTGTCGTTCTTCGTGCTTAGACACAGTTTCTCCTAAAAAACGATGACAATGGTTTAAAGTCATACATTCTTCACAAAAAAAACATTCATACACAAACAAAAATAAATATAAAAAAAACCTCGTTCCAATTCAGACGCAGTAATAAAACTGTGATGTTTTTCCGAATTTTCTTGCTGTCTTCGTTCCTCAAATTCTTTGGCAAATTCTCCGAGGGTGTTCCGCTTTTTTGGTTCAAAATTCTTTAACTGCGAATACAAACTGTCCTTGCAGGCTTTTACTGATGATATCTGAAATTGTAGCAATAAATTTATATTCTATTTACTAACAACTTTTGCAACTACGGAGTAAGAAAAAGTAGTACTAGTGAGTGATTTTTACCAATTTGATCATTGCTCGCCTATAAAGGCTGACAACAGTACTTTTAGAGAATTCTTCGTATTCCATTTGTATGGCGCACTGTTCCACGCCATGTACAGAGAGTTGCCGATGAGGTCTGTCAATGTCCTTCATGGCGGCGAGGTTGTTATTAAGAGCGTCTTTCAAGAGAGTTAAGTACCCTTCACGACTGGCTACTGTTAGCCCGTTTACCTGAAAATTGTTTATCCGTAATGACAATCAATAAGTCAAATTATAGAGAGATGATTCCGACTCATCGTGGTGTGCTTTCTTCCAGCGTGACCATCGAGTATTTGAAATTTGACCAGTTAAAAGTCGTCAGTTAGTCGGTTGTAGCCGCAAAAAAACAATATTGGATCAGCATGCTGTTTCAAAGTTATAAGGGTCTTTTATTGTCTACACTGGAATAAGTTTATTTCGGCGGTAACATTTTTCAATGTCGTAAACCACAGCATCTAGCCATTGACTTACAATTATATGGACGTCGGGTCCGCGCTAAAAAGTGTCCGAACTTATAGGGCGTTAAAATCGTATACAGAGCGTCATTCACGCTTTAGTCTTCGTTTGTTCGACTGACAGCGAAACAAGCAAAATTAGACAGTACTGCGATGACATTACAATTTAAATTCAAGGTTTTAGCTTTTTCATATTCCTTTACATGTCACTACGTTTAAATAGGTAGACTTGGGACATTGTTTTCGTGGTTTTTGTATTAGACCCGTCGTCCATTTATTTGTAAGTCAATGCATCTAGCTTAGATTTTCTCGTGTGTATGCGAAATCGGGATGTTTACAAAGTCAATTTTAAATAAACTCGTTACTAAATGTTAAAAGGAAAGTTTGTATATGAGTGTAATAAAGAAAATTATCAGTTGATCAATTTGAGTTGAGAAATTTAACTTTTTTCTACTTTTTTAAGGTACCTTTTTCCCTGTACTTTCAGCTGCTATACACAGCGAGTATTTAGCAGACTCTGAGCTATTGTGTTTTTGTTCCTTCTCAATGACTTTCTTCCTGTTTGCAAATTCTTTGAGAATCAGTGACCTGGTTTCTTGAGCAACTTTTCGCCTGCTATCTTCGCCATCAAACTCACTGCTGTCGTCGTTGTAGTATGGTGCCGACTCCCTGGAGATATTGGACATTGGATTACTTCACTTGTTCTACAATTTTTACTTTAACTAATAATAAAATAAAGTTGATAGTTTAAAAGTTGATATTTAAAACTGCTTCTTGTTCATTTCTATAGCGTAGGCTTCACTTATGCGTCAAGAGGACGAGAGTCCTCATTTATAGTATTCGGTTGGTCTCGTTGTTTCTTGGCGTGTGGTGCCCAGAAGCTGGCAAAGGATTTTTTTTAACTCATAACCCCGCACAAGGAAATCGGCGCGCAGCCGCCGACGCCGCAAATGCAATCGGCGCGCCGTTCAATTTAGTTTATTCAGTATGTTGAGTGTGTGCGTTGTTATTATTATTATTAGTTTGATCAGGCGCTCCGATCTTATACATGCGCACGCTTCTGTATGCGAAAGAAATTGATATTTCTAAGAAAAAACTTAGTGACTTTATGTTATTTATTTTAGTAGCAATAGAGCTCCCTGTGAAAGAGTTCGTCCAGGGAAGTACTGCCACCTCATCTATTTCTGCCGCCAAGCAGTAATGTCAGCATTACTATGTTCCGAGATTGAAGGGTAAGGGTGCTGGTGAAATTACAGGCACATGGGACTTGTCAACTTACGTCTCAGGGTGACGGGCGCAGTGGCAGTGCGCCTCAGATCTTTGGGATTTAAAGAGCTGAGTGGCACTGCAAGTGTTATGGACAGGTGTGTAGCTTACCATCAGGCGCACGAGTTATTCGTCCCGTCACTTGATATTATAAAAAAATAGTCTAAAATGTTTTTGTTTAAAATTTTCATTACGCATACATAATATGGAAGCGTGCGCGTTTCATAAAAACATCTCACAAGTGTTTAAATGCCTAATTATGTACAGTTACATACACTGCTGTATCTACACACATATTATTATTATAACCTCTCTGTGATGTGTTCAGGAACCGCATGTTACGACTGGCGAAATGGCGGCAAATAAATTTTTTTTAACACAATAGCACAAAACGTATTTTTCGTACTACAAATCATGCCGAAAGTTGTATTTTTCGCACTAGTGCTTTTTACTTTTCCATTTTTTATTTAATTTAATGTTTCAAGTCTTAAACATAGAACCAAAGAGGTTATATATTTATTTAATATTTATGTGCTTTTTGACGTAAGTCATTCGTCATTAAAACTCATATTTACTTACAAACATCTTATTTCTTTCAGTTGCATAGGTGTTTTATAAAACAACGGGTTACATTTAAAAATACCAAAACATTTTACATAAAGATGACTGATTGAGTATTAACAATGACCGGAGGTGAATATTACGCGAGACCGCTGCGCGCCGCGGCACTAAAATAGTAATTTTAATGTGGCTGAATACTGGCAACAATTGCCATATTGAAAATAGTCGGCCAAAAAAGTACTAACTTTTTTTCATCTAAATTTCCGCCTTTTTCACTTACTTTTTTTTTAAATAAGGTCAGGTGGGATTAGAGGAACACCGGGGGAAGAGGGACTAAAGTCCATAATATCTAAAGTAAAGCGTTTAGCACTATAGTCTCTCAGTTGTTAAAACAGACAAACAAATTAGTTTTAACGATTGAAAAGAGATGTCTGTACGACGTTCCAAATTTGAGAGAGAGAAAAAAAAATCGACAATTCGGTAGTCTGAAAACACGAGATGGGCGCGTTTTTCTTTGCTAGATCTTGGTGAAAAAAATGGAGATTATTTTTATAGAAAAACACGCAGAGTTTTACTTTCTATTAGTTATTTCAGACCAAAAACAACAAATAATACGAGTTTCATTGGAATCAAAATTCTAACCGCCAAAAACATTGTTCGGGTAAGAGGGTCTAGTATGGGGTAGAGAAACATATGTTCCTCTTCCCCCGTGTCAGGGGTGACAAACTTTTTGATGAATTGTCATATTGGAATATTGTCATATTCGAACAAACACAACTTTATACCCGTATATATTATATATTATTATTTTATACCTAGACATATATACTTTTAAGAAATTAAGTTACATTTGTTCAAATAACGTTTTTGATAGTAATTGTAAATTTTGGTAAAATTTTAGTGACTTCGTCCACATGTTGTTAATTTCTGATGATGTTACAATAATTACACCACTACAATTTTATGTGTAAACACAACTTAAGATGTGTATCTTAAGATAGTTTTTAAAGCCAGCAACAAAATTCTGGTAGTAGATTTTTCCCGTCAGGAATTTTTAGAAAATGTAATATTTTAGTGGAAAACTAAAAAAAAATTACATAAGCTCTAAAATAATGACGTAATCTAAGAACAAACCCAAAAATGCACGCTCATTGCACGTTAGCTACGTGGTCACACTACTTCTATACCAAATTTCAATTGATTTAGTGCAGCAGCATGGAGTACTGTTCGCACCTTTGGGACGGCTCTGCCAAGTACTTGCTCGATGCCCTAGATGGACTGCAGCGCTACGCCTTCCGTGTTGTCAACGATCCTCATGTAACTGAGCATGCGGAGTCGTTACAGCTTCGCAGAGATATAGCGTCTCTTAGCGTATTCTATCGCCTGTACCACGGTGAGTGCTCTGAAGAGTTATTCAACCTTATCCCTTCCTCTCCTTTCCATCAGCGGACCACCCGTGCCGGACTGCGTTGCCACAGTTGGACGGTCAGTTCAATACCGTCCCGCACTAAAAAGTTTGGCAATTCGTTTTTATGCCGAACCATCAAATTGTGGAACCAACTCCCGGCGCATGTATTCCCTCCCCTCTCTAACATCGGGTCCTTCAAACGTAGTGTGAAGAAGCATTTGGCCAGACCGGCAAAATGATAGTGACGGAGTGAAGATATTTGTGTTTTCCATCCGTTACTCTCATCTTTGGACTGTATTCGCACTTTCCATCAGGCGCGGTGCAGTCATTTTGCCGAGTCACAATAAAAAAAAATAAAAAAAAACGGTTTACAAAGTAGAGTGGTTTTGGTGACTAGAGAAGAATAAATTTTGTTAGAAGTATAAATTAATTTTTGGACCAAACGTTGTTTTTCTAGTATGATAATGTTTAAAAAGTACTTAAGTTACGTTATGTGTTTGATTGGTAGATGATTTGTAAACGAGTGGTCTAAAACGTGGCTTTATTATGCTTTGTACATACTAAAAAAATTATAACAGATTAACTTTTTTTTTAATTTGTCACCCCTGACCCTTAACCTGTATGTTCCTTTTGCTCCAAAATTAATTTTTCACCTTTTTTTTTTTATAAGTAAGTAGTAAGTGCGTTATTTCAATGGTTTTAAGATCAAATACGATTGATATAGTTTTACTTAGGAATTAACTACGGATATATTTAAATATACATTGCATTTATATGAAATATGATGACAGTTCCTCGTACCCCATTTTTTGGGGGAAGAGAAACGTTAACACAACCTGAACGTTTTTGTCAGATACATCGTAAGTATTAATTTTAGCGTAATGATTGTTAAAACATGGAAAGCTGATAAACCAGGGCAAGATTGGAGCATTTCAAGATTCGTATAAGACATTATTTATTGCTCCTAGAGCTCATAACATTTGTCTCGAATTAAAATATGTTCCTCTTACCCCACCTGACCTTACCGTTTTATTTTACTTTCAATGTAGTTTTTTCGCAAATGTTTTAAAAAACGTCGTTTGATACACGTGCGGGTTTGTCATTTTCACCTGTGTCGAGTCTTTGAAGCCTCGAGACTCGTGAATAATGACTAACTTTCCGCACTTGTATCAAAAATAACTATTCCTCACGCGTGTCACACAACCATAGATTTAGTATATCACACAACAGTAGTTTTTATTGATTTTATTTATTGATAATTCATAGACAAACTAGAATCGGCCCCAACTATCATATAGTTCGATATCAAGCATAGATTTAGTGTATAGGTAACCATAGATTGGCAATGCAAGTGAAAGATCTTCATTATACGCTATGAGCCTGTATGAACCTAGGGTCACTGATCACACACATCGCTGACAACGAAACAAATTTCGTTTATTTTTGAAAAATAATTTGTTTTAAAATGTGAAATAGTGTTAAACGGACGTTTATTAGTCATGGTAATGTGTGCCCGGATGTAACTCATCTAAAAAGGAATACTCGCAGAATTGTACATTTCACATGTAAGTACTATTTAAATTTTTAGCTGTCTAAAAGCACTACCACAAAAGTTTTTTACATAAAAATATCTGTAATTCAAGTGCATTAATAACCCAAATGTATACGAATTTCTGAAATTCATAACCTCACTTTCATAGAGATTGACGCAATCGATAATATGTTATCGAGATGTCATTAACTGAAAAAAAGAAAGGCAAAGGCGTGGCTTGCATACAGCCGAAATCATCTTCATACTTAATATTATTGAATCAGAAATTTCTGGTTTTAGTACTTTATATTTAATTAATATTGCATTAGTGCATTATTTTTTGTCTACATTAAAACGAAAATTTCTTTTATTAGCGAAGTTGAGGCGCCCATTTTTCTTATGTTAATTATTGTTGTTGAAACAGATTTCCTCAAAACATTGAAGTAGAAATGGCTTATAATGCTAAAGAAAGAAGACTGGTTTCCCAAAAAGTTTTCAAAAATATGCAGCAAACACTTTGAGGAAAAATGCTTTTCCTTTAGAGGCAAGCAAAGAGTAAAGCTACGTTCTGGTTCTGTACCCATATTATTCATGCCGGTATGTATTAAAATTAATGGATTTTTGTGCAGTACTACTCTCAACAAATCAACGATTTGTTGTTGTTAGAGTTCTGTTCTGTTCCGAAATACGATACTCATATAGGATCACTTGTGTGTCCATCTGTCCGCCTGTCAAAGTCAATTTACTTTAAACCTACTGGATTAATTATTTTGAATTTTGGTACACATATGCATTTGTGTGACCAAAACGTGTAACGTAAATATATTAATTCAGAAATTGAAGTCACTATTGGGAGGGACAGTTCTCAAGTATATATTTTTTGTAATTTGTATAGAATCATTAATTAATTAGTTAATTAACGTTTCGGTAAGACATTTTGGTGAACACGACGAAGTGAAATGCCGGTGTAATATGTTAATCGATATTAAAGTTAAATCAGTGGATGGCGCAACACTATTTATCTTACACACATGCACATTATACGCACACAGATGTATTTTAGTTTTGGTCTCGTCTCCAATACTTCAGGGCCAATCTATGTATATACTAAATCTATGATACCAAGTAACGTGTGAAATTGCCTAAATGATTTGCTACTGACATTTCATTTTGAATAAAACTTCATCTCGACTAATATTAGAATTAAGGGTCCAATCAAATTGTTTTGCTTTCAGAGATGTTCGGAATTTGAATGTAATAATAACATCGAATTCAATGCTATTATGAAGCAATAATAATATTTTCACAGATAAATTTGTTCTAACAAAACAGTTTATCTTTATGCTGGTCGTAATTTGCAGTTTTTGAACACATTATAGAGAGTTTATGATATGTGTGTAGATAAAATATGTTATTTTATTTTTTCCTTTGAAAAAGTATTTGTATAACGGTTTTTGTAAAAACAAACACCGTTATACAAATTCGTTCCATAGTCGCGCTCGCGCCGCCGACACTTTATCGTCGGTGCGCCGCCGCCGGTTGGTATATTATCGGCGCTCACATCTAATGGACACATAGACAACCACAAATTACATCCGAATTTACGAGAGAAATAAATGTAAGCCGTACAAACATTTCTTCCGGCCCGGGAATCGAACCCCGGACCTCTACGTGGCAGACCAGCATAGTAACCGTTCGGCTACGGAGGCAGTAATATTTGTTTTGTTTTATAATTGAATCACTCCAGCATGCACACAGCACTAACACACCTTTTCTGCCCATATCGTCCTTCACCATACAAGTCTGAGGGGTCTTCAATGGAGATGAACCCAGCTCGCTCGAGACGGGCGCTCATAGCGCGTCGCATGTGTTGCTCGAGCGCCCGACGCACTGCTCGCTCGTCGGCGCATGCGTCGCAACGATTCGTACATTTCGGGGCTTCGTCACCGAAGTAGTCCGCGAACACTTTGTGACGACACCTGTAAGTAAAGCAGCTTTATAACATTTATTATGTTTCTGTGTAACCCACTTACAAGCGGATTAGTAGCAGTAGAGCTTCTTGTGTAAGAGTTCATCCAGAGAAGTACTGCGACCTTATTTATTTCTGCCGCCAAGCAGTAATGTCAGCATTATTGTGTTCCGGTTTTGAGGGGCAAGGTGAAATTACAGGCACATGGGCCTTGTCAACTTATGCCTCAGGGTGACAGGCACAGTGGCAGTGTAGTTTATTTGGAGAACATTCTAACAGAATCGCTAACAAACAAGAAACGGAGCGGCGCAGATGTTTGCGATTTAAAGCTCTAAGTGGCACTGCAACTGCTATGGGCAGGCGTGTCGAAGCGCACGACTTGTCCTGAAACATGGTATCATAAGAACAAAGAAACATTCAAACACTCACTTGACTTCCTCACAGTATTTAACCATAATTTCAAAGCTCTTATATGCATTTTTGCAGCGCTGTTTCTGCTCGGGAGTGCGCGCAGTTGCGAGTTCTTTCTTGAGAAGGAAGTCGACAGCGTTGCGTTCGTTGCGGCAGTAATAAATACGACAGAATGCCGGCTTGCCATCGCGTCCAGCTCTGCCAGATTCCTGGAAATTTAAACAATAATACATAGTAATTATTTGTTCAGTAAGTTTCCAAGTAGTCCATAGCAGGCTTTACACAGACGCTCTATCGCACATGGATTACGCGTGCAGGCTTTCCCGCGCTTAATCCTGTACATTCCTGATCACGCGCGATAGAATCTGTGTGAAGGGGACTATTGTTTTAATAGTGTAACATGTGACTGTAAAAAATTACTATTTTCTTCTTTTTTATAGATTTTTTGCCTGATTACACACGTTAAGCAGTTATTAACAAGTATTGTACTCTTTTTCTACTTTAGCCATTCTCAACATCTAAGTTGTAGGCCTCCTCCAGTTTATGCCATTCCGGTCTTAAGCAGTTTCTAACCACTTTGTATTGGACTCATACTAATTTATTTTCGTCGTTCCTTTATAATACCACCCTTCTTATCATAAGTAACGTAATCGAAGAAATTGAGTTACTGTGAACTGCCAACTGGTACTACCTCAAATTTGACAACTTTACAAGTGAAGAAAAATCTTGTTTGCGTCATTTATATTTATATAGCATCTGGTTTATAAATAAAAATGCGTAGTTTTTAAACATTTTTATTACTATGCTATTAAAAACAATGGAATTTCTTGAAACGCTGCGGAGTATGAAATAGTATAAAATGGTATTAAAATGTGAAATTTTTTAGAAAAATTATAGTACCGGTTGCCAGTTCACAGTCGATATCTGGGATCAACAATGAGGTCTGCAACACCGTCTAATCGGTTTTTTTATATCTTATTTAGTTTCAGTTTTAATGGTAAGTAAATCAGCGTAATTGACATTTTCTACTAGCAAAAGAACTAGGTGCCAATATAAAAAAATGCTCCGGCCATGTGTTACGCACAGTGCGTAATACCTTGGAGTGCCTAGGTCGCTCCCGAAATCTTCGAGATTGGGTGGTACGAATAGGACCCTGCACCCACCACACGCAAAAAGTGCCTGGACGTCGACAACAGCCCATTACACCATAGGTTCCCAAACCTTTTTTTATCTTGCCCACTTGGCATGATAAAAAAATTTAAACACCCACCACCATAAAAAAATATATATATGTAGGGTAGTTTATATAGCTATACCAGGTTTTTTTTTTCAAATGTGGTAGTACCCCCTAACAGCATCAACACCCCTTGATTGCTTCCATGGGGCTTCCGCCCCCCAAGGACTCTTCAGCGCACACTGCTAGGGACTATTTTACGAACCTATGCATTACACCATATCATACCATCTCAAAATTACTGAACCGCACATGTGCTAGGTACAACAAAGGGCAGAATAGCTACATTTTTTATTTCTCTCTGCTGGATCAGGTGTCATGTTTTAAATTATACCTGGTAATAAGCGGCGACGTTCTGCGGCAGGCCCCAGTGCGCGACGGCGCGTACGCTGGCCTTGTCCACGCCCATGCCGAAAGACACGGTGGCGCACACGCAAGGGCACTCGCCCTGTGACCACTTCTCTTGCGCCTCTATACGTTCTGATGTTTTTAATCCTAAACAATTAAGAATCTGCGTATAGTAGAGGTAAGTGGTAAACGCATTAAGAATAAAATGTGTTTGATGCAACCCAACCGTAATTTTTTGGGATTGTAATGATTTCGTTACCTAGAATAAATAGTTCTATAATTTTAGTTACTACATCCAGATGAGAATAGAGATTTCACCATGAGATAATTTCATATTTGCTGTTAAATTATATTACAGAATTTTAAAGTTCTTTTGTAACATTAGAATTACCTCCATGATATGCCAACGATTTTAAACCTTTTTTGCTGAGCAAGTTTGCAATATCTTCTGTTTGATCCCTGGTACGACAATACACTATAACCACATTTTTATCTTTCTGAAACAGTAAAACATATAAGTAATTATCCTGATACTGATGTTCAAGAATCAATAATAAAATAGAAATACGGACTGGTTTCACATTCTCATCATCCTTCATACTTTTTTGTAAAAACTCCATTAGATGCCCTACTTCATCCTCTATACAGTTTTGATAAGCAACATCATAAAATAAATTCCTTCTGAAACTTGGTGTCTTAAATTGTGCTACCGGCTGTCTCAATTTAAGATTATCCAGAATGTCCTTAGCTACTTCAGCACTGGCTGTGGCAGTTAGAGCTACCCAAGTTATGTTTCTATATTTTTCTCTCAGGTCCCCCAGCTTCAGGTAATCCGGTCGAAAGTCATGCCCCCATTCACTGACACAATGAGCTTCATCAACAACTATGTACGAGATTTTTTTATATTTATCAAGGTGCTCAATAAGTGACCTAAAAGTGCCAGTAGCAGCCTGCTCCGGCGTGACATAAAGGAATCGAGTATTAGGCTTTATACTTTTGATGTCGTTTAACACTCTCTCTCTATCTTTAGAAGACATTTTAGAGTTTATAGACTCTGCTGGTATCTTCAGCTTTGTTAAATGATCAATCTGGTCTTTTATTAGTGCTAGCAATGGTGAGAAAACAATGGCCAATTTATTATCAGCAAGCATAGCTGGCAATTGGAAACACAGCGACTTCCCTGAACCAGTGGGCATTGATACATAAACATCATGGACACCTGAAAAAAATAACTCATTTACATCTTCAACAGCATAATAAGACCTACTGAAAAAATATTTTTAAACAAAATATGGCAAGTTAATTAAGTAATTTATTCTTCACCATTGTCTACACATGAATATAACAACAGGTAAAAATAAGTTCAATGAAAACAATCCTATTTAATTAATTTAGCTACCTAAAGCATGAAATGGATAATAAATACATTTATTTACAAAGTGGGTGAAAGTTATTATCATTATTTTGGCAGCCCTGGGTTAAACGACTATTTTTATTGGACCTCCTGTTGACGTATCATATCGTTTATTCCGTGTCGTCTAAATTTAGTAGCATTAAGTTATTGCGTGTAATTTTTAAGTGCATTTTGCGACAAATTATCTAAAAGAACTGAAAATTTACCTCTGGCTATAGCTCTAACTGCACGTTCTTGCAGTTCACTTTTAAACTTTCGATGACCAAAGCACTCCAACAGTTTTTCTGTTACGTTATCCATATCGGAGGCCTATTTCAAACGCACAAACACAGCAGGTATAGCACTTGTATTGTAGCACAATATCACGTTGAATATATTCAATTTGAAGCTCATATTATAATAATGAAGTGAATAATCTAAAGAAATTCTATCGAAAACAACCTCTAAACATAAATACTCGAATGACAGTTCGCGAATTCATTGTGTTTCAATCAACGCAGAATTTTTATTTATGTTGCCGATTTTACACAGATTTTGTAATTTTATCAGTTTCCTTAACAATAGAGGGTATTTATTCTCCTCATTTGAACATTATTTCAGAAAAATCACAACGATTGAGAAACACTTTCAAATTTAACATGTAAATAAGGTGTAAATGGGAATTGGTCGCTTAAGACAGGGGCACCAATATTAGAAACGAAAGCGCGCCAATTTCGAACTTCGACTCGTCAGTCGTCGATTCGTGGGAATATAGAATTCTGTATTTTACAGATTATTATAATAATAAATTTACAATGAGCAAACGCAAGAATCCTTCAGACACCGATAATCTAAATGGTGATTTCTGTGATTTTCTTATGGAGCTTGCGGAATATGAGAAAAATGTAAGTCGCAACATTCATAAATATAATGCGTATAAAAAAGCGGCTAGCGTTCTAGCTTCGCACCATAAGAGAATTGAATCTGGCGAGGAAGCGAAAAAATTGAATGGCATTGGAGAAAAAATTGCAAAGAAAATTGAGGAGTTTCTCCAGACGGGGAAGCTAAAGAAATTGGAGAACATTCATGAAGATGAAGAAGCTCAAGCTATAAACTTGCTTACGAGAATATCGGGAATTGGTCCGGTGAAAGCAGCAGAACTGGTGAGAGAAGGTATAAAAACCATTGAAGATTTACGCAAGAACCATGAAAAACTGACTCATCATCAAATGGTTGGATTAAAGTAAGTGATCATGTAATTCTATGAAAAAGATCTTGTGCGAGGTGCAGATTGATTAAATGTGGATTAGATACGTCGAAAACCCATTTAAAAAAAATATATTTCAAGACCTTGGATTCAAGTCTTATCAGCGTAGTGCCTCCAACTGAATGGTTTAACCAGAGTATGGACAGTTTTTGAAACACCACCAAGCCAATAAATTCATTACTGAAGGATTATTTTATTTTACGTGCAATATTATTTTTGGAAATGAAATAAATTCTTGTTGATAGGAATATTATTGTGAGGTTTTAGATTTAAAATATTATTATAAGATTTAAAAGTAACCCTATATCAACAGGGTGTGTCAAGCTCAAAAGTTAAAATACCCAGAGCTGTATAATCTATTAATTAAAAAATATTTAATACTGCTATACCTCTCTCTCTCGCTCTATTTAAGCAGTGTACTCTTTGGAGCAGTGTAATTGCGTACCTGCACATGTAGATTATACGCGAATATTCTTTGTTAAGTTGTCAACCTTAATTTTCAGATATTTTGAAGATTTTGAGGCGAAAATTCCCCGAACGGAAATTGAGGAAATCGAAAAGAAGTTGAAAGGGCTGATTAACAAACTGGATCCTGAATTCACTGTTACAATTTGTGGTAGCTACAGGTATGCCTGTAATTAGAGAACGACATGAAAATAAATGTTCAAAAAATTGTGCCATCGTAAATTAACTCGAGAAGGAAATTAAAGGGTCAGAAATAAAAGACAAGCGCCTTAAACATGAAAGTAATTCTACTAAGACTACGTGCTTCTGCTTATATGTATTATTATTTTTTTATTGTTTGGATTAGCAGAGTACCTTGTCGTGATTTTAAACGTTTGTTAACAGACGTGGCAAGAAAGAAAGCGGTGATATTGACGCTCTGATAACTCATCCATCCGTGAAAACGAGTGATGGGAAAAAGAAGAATAAGGAACACGAGAAGTTGTTAAAAAAATTGGTGGACGGGCTTAAAGGACTCGTGACTGATACTATCTCCTTGGGAGACACTAAATTCATGGTAAACTAAGCATGACAGCGAATTTATTAATTATTACTATTTAGGCTAGGCAAACAATATAATTTATGAACGAATAGTTGGTTTTATAAAACCTAATTAAAGCTTCCTGATATATTTACCTATACTCTAGCCAATTTCGACGTAGAATGTTTAATACTAAAACGTTGCTTGGCAACTAATGATGGCTGGTGTAAAGAACATTTTTGTCAATGCTTATTATTTAGAGTGACATGCTTTGCTCACGTAATTGGAATTAAATAGGTAAAGAGATAAATTGAGTTATGTAGAAGTAATATTACTTGGCCAACTATTATGAAGTTAGGAAAGTACCTACTGATACGTATATTTATGATTAAAATATATTTTTGATACGTCTAATCTACTTACTGCTAGGTAGTAGGTAATGTAATAATATGATAGATAAAAAAACTAAATTGTACGATTTTATTTCATGGTAATCTCATCTCATCTCTAATCATTAATCTTATCTCATCCAGCATATTATATTTCCGATTCTGAACTTGAATTACTCGAAATCAAACGTTTGCATCTCTCCCTTCAAATAAAAAAAAAACCATTAGGGACGACACAGTTTTACAAATAATGATTACTGGTAATTTTTGTTAGTTTCAAATTGTGTGATTTACAATTACTATTGAACAAAATTCATCACAGACATGATATCAATATTAATACTATCAATTAGCCTAATTGAATTTCGGGGAAAAATATTAAAATTGTGGTAACTGTAAAATAGCCTGAGGTGAAAACCCTAAAAATCATATGTTTTGGTTGTTACGCCGTATGCACAGACTCAAGGTATAATATTAATAATAATTTAACTTATTATTATTCGTAATAGTCAATTATTATTAGTGCCGATTTATATTTTGTTGGTTTATTTTATGATAAGCTATGGCAGAATATCAGCGAGGGTTATATAAATATTTGCATAGTTCTCAAATGCTGACTCATAGACCCTTATGATATGCTTTTTTGCTTTGTATTACATTATTACAATTATTAATATTTGGCTCTGATGTTCTGTAATTGTTTGTGGTTATTTTAATTTTATTTATTAACGAACATTCTCAAAATAAAAAAAACAACACACTTAACTTTAATTCTATATTTTTTTCTAAAAATAATCAAAGGATAGGGTAGGAAAGATAATAGACGTTATTTTCAGGGTGTTTGTCGTCTCTCAGAAGACCTCCCGGCCCGTCGTTTGGACATTCGCCTGATACCTTGCGAGCAATACTATTGCGCCATTTTGTACTTTACTGGCAGTGACGTATTCAACAAAAGCATGCGCGCGCACGCATTGGAACACGGATTCACACTTAACGAATATTCTTTGAGACCTATTGGATCGACCGGTAGGTAAAAAGTAGCCAAAAAATTACCTAGTGATGAAAGAGACTGGGTCTAATAATGCAATGTAATAGGAAATGAAACTATTTTTCCGGATTTAAATCGCGTATATTTGTTTTTTCAAACAAACCGACGTTTCGGGCCCTTTACAGGTCAGTCAACCGTGACCATGGGACCTGTAAAGGGCCCGAAACGTCGGTTTGTTTGAAAAAACAAATATACGCGATTTAAATCCGGAAAAATAGTTTCATTTCCTATGTGTCACAATCGCGAAAACCTAAGAACTCGAAATGCAAAGTAAATTAAAAAATACTCGACTAAATTTTAATCCCAGGAAGTAAAGCCTGTCGTTACTTAAAAGTCCTAAGCGCCCCGTAAACGACCAAATAACTTGTCAAATGTTACGTGTTTGTCAAACTTTTGCGGACGTATTTCATGCGTTTGTCAAAAATAATGTACGTGTTTGATGGAAATTTAGATTGACGGCGTAATTGACAAACATGTTTGAAGGTTTGTTTGTCAAACCAAACTTCTATTATCGCTTATGCGTTCACCTAGATTCCATATAGTTGTCTGGTTCTGTGCGCAATATTTCTTGTAACAAATTTTCGTGGATATGTTTTTCTCTTGATTTCAACCATATCTATACCAACGTATATTTATTTTTTCTTAATACGTAGAGCTAATGTTAATGCCACAAATGCGTTAACTATTATTCTTACTCATTGCACAAATTACAAAGAGATATGACTTATTGTATTAACCATTGTACAGCACGTATGACTGTAGTGAACTATAGTCAAGTTTGTCAAACTTGATTGATGGTTATTTGATCGTTTACTACATTGTTTGAAGAAAACTTAAAGTTTGAAGGATAAATTGAGACTAATTATTTCATCGTTTATGGGGCGCTTTATTGGTCTAAAACGACTGGTGCTTTATTGTCTCGACCCTCTTAGGTCGCGAGTCATGAGTCGTGTGGCGTGTCGGGACTTCTATATAATTTACATTTATTAGGAAAACTTAAATATACATTAAATTGTATCAATCACAGTATGATGGTTCCTAGGCAACAAATTACTCACGTAAAAGCCAACGTTCGATTATAATTTAAAATGTGCTGTTAACGATTCAAATGACTCACCAAAAAAAAAACAAAACCTGGTCATTTATTATGTTCTAGGGCCACATAATTCTATATTTTTATTATGTTTTGTTTCCAGGAGTCCCTGGTGAACCAGTACCATTATCATCGGAAGAAGAAATATTTGAATACATTGACTACCCATTTAAGAAACCGGAGGAACGTAGCGTATAATAATATAATATAATATAATATAAGAAAGTAATAAAATCTTCACTCGTTAAAATTTTGTTACTATTTATTTACTTCATCATAGAAACTTCATTATATCACATCGTTTCATTAAAAACAAACATTTGGGTCCATTAGCAACAATGTTCATTATTTATTTATATACAATGGAATAATACAAAAACAAAACTGCGTGGCCGCGTGTCATTTGTTAATGCCTCTATCGGAAAGTTAAGGCGAAATTATTTATTATTGCTTATAATATTACCTTTGATGCTTGTTCAAGAAAAATGGATTTGGATAAAACCTTATAGTGAATTCATTGTTTCATAGGGTGTAAAATTGTCTTGAAAATAGAGCATAAGTTGGATTATTTTACATTAAAAACTGCGAACCTCTCAGCTCGTAATGTTTTGTAACTAGTAATACAATTTAGTATTTAATCAAGACTTTACACATTAATCTCTACATCATGTCTACAAAACTTCACTAACTTTGATTAGTTTGTATCCAAAATAGAAGCAAAATGTTAGCATGAAGCCCACTAAATTGCCTTAAGATTATAGTTTACAATGTCATTTGAAGTCAAATTTTAATCTAAAGATAATAATACAAAATGTAATCAAATTATTTTGACTAATTAAATTGACTGTCACATCACCATATCCTATCACTAATAGCTCCAATAACTTTCTTTTAGCTTTAGACTGTATGTTGATATGCAACTACATAAGTACTATAAAAATATATTCAATCGCTGACAGCTAAGTAAATTACTGGTTTGTTGTAACAAAAGTTAAATAAAACCATACAATATATAAAACTCATGTGTAAACATCTAGATTATGCAAAATCACATACTAAGTAAAATGAAATATTTTTCAAACAAACCTTTACAGGCTCTTTACGGGTTCCATGGTCACGGCTGACTGAGATGTCATTGGTCATCAAATAGTTGTCTAATATTAATGCAAATCACACTATTCTATAGTTACTAAAATAATTTAACTACCTTTGACCACCTCAGTGGTCGACTAGGTTGCACATCGGTTTTCATGGTGTCACCATCTCTGAGGTCCCAAGTTCAATCACAGACCGGGTCAATGTAGAAACTAACTTTTCTATATAGTCTAGGATCTGAGTGTTTGTGGTACCGTCGTTGTTTCCGATTTACATAGTATGTGATGTTGTCTAATATTAATTTATTATTACTTTACTAAATAAAATACAATGGTTTAAAAATGGAAATAAAAAATAGTTTCATTTCCAATGTATAGCAATCGCGAAAACCGAGGGACTTGATACACATACTTGGGCACACGCTTTTCAGTCTACAATCTCAACAATTATTGCTTATAAAATTTGATTTAATTATAACAAAATAAGTCTTTAGTTAATGAATAAAATACAATGCAGTACAATTATCGTTTATAATCTTTGAAGCAAGAAAAAGATAGCTAGAAAACATGGCTTGTGCCTTTTAAAAATTTTGAGATCAACTTAATTATAAATATCTATAGTAACTGCCGTAACAAGATACATCTATAATTTAAGTCAGGAAAAAGACATTAACGACGAAAAAAATGAAGATCGTAATTAGAGAAAATCAAGAGAGGGATAGCGCGTCAAATATACTTTGGTTTCTTACTCAACATCATGCAGATAAAATACCTTGAATACTTAAAAATAACATCAGACCTTCCCCGCACTAACTGCCGTAACTCACATTTTTTTTAGAACATAGAATTATCTTCACATAATACCTCTATAATAAGACAAATAGTGTAATTTCATTCAAATGTAGCAGCGCGCCGTGTATAAAGGGTGGTTTAGCATTTCATCAATTCATTCAGTGTAGGTATTTATACGCCAAGCAGGCGCGAGTTGCAATACTTGTCATATTATACTATGACTATACGTCCTAGGTCTACCTATTTATATATAAATATAGTTCATTGGCAGAACGAGTTTCACTAGAGGTATGCAGTTCAAAATGTGATAGGCTAAAAAACCACGGTGTCCTGTAAAACTAGCCCAATACTAATTACGACAGTTAGTCTGAAGACTAACGACGAAACATAATAAGACAGGTATGATAAATATGGTATGGTTCGTATAATAATTTAAGCCTCGTGGGACAATCAGTGCTGCGCAACGCGAATGTATCGTGAGATTATGCGAATCAGTGCGTCCATACAGAGTACGCGGCGCACGTGCACACATGCAAGCTACGCTGATACGTTTATATAGTTACAATACTTGTCTTATTATACTATGCTAACGATCTTAGGTAAAAGATTGATGAGTTACTTTACGTACGTTACATCAGCGTTTGTTTTGTCGGAATAACAAATTAGTTCTTCAAATTTGGCAACACCGAGAGGTTACAACTTGTCAGTGTTAAAATAAAGTACGTCATCATTTAGCTGTCATAATGTCCATCGGGGTGTACCAGTTTATAGAGTTGTGACGTAGGGTCCGATAAAGCGTCATCGGGAGTGCGCAACTCTAACATTTTCCCCGCCCCCATCACTAGAACGCGGGAACATTCTAGAACGCCCGCGACGCGATGCGCGATGAACAAAACAGTTGATCCAGCAAATGAACTTTTTATGGTGTCGAGTATAAGCCGCTCTGTCCCTTGGTCTAAGTTCGCTGTTGCTTCGTCAACTAGTAGAATCTGTGGAGTTAAAATTTAATTATTACTACAGCACCATACAACAAGTAAACGTGTAACTTGGGGGCGAATGTTTCTTAGAGCAGACCAGACATTTCTCTCACTCATCACTTCGCTTTATTATGTGAATCAACAAATATTATTTTTTAGGTGTTCTAGCTCTATCGTTGCTCAAGTTAATGAAGGCACACATTATTTAATCAGAATTTGACCGGAGACTACAAAGTACAACACAAACATTTATAAATTTACTTCGTTTGGGGCACAAATTAGCCAAAGTATGGGAAGGAGGATTAATTTAATAAGTTATGAGGAGGAGGAAGGAGGCTTAATTTTCATTATCCATACAAAACAAGGCGAAAATGGGGCCCATCGTATTCCTTTGTCGACAGCCCTAATCGACTAATATACCACATGGAACATAAGGAAAATGTTTCTGATTTCATTAACTCAATAATAATTATAATTGATACAAAGCTCGAACAATACAAAGAAAAAATCCTTTGATCTAAATTGATTAGAACCAGCGTGTTTGCCAAACCAGGGCTACCGCTCTTACCAACTCAGCTACAGATCGAGTCAAGTCAGTTGTGTTTGTTCTTTGTATAGACTCAGATTTTATAAAAATAATTTAATTGTATCGGAAGAAGAGAATCGGGACAGCAGAACTTGGTCAAATTTAATAAAATGTTATTCTTTTGTACGAAAAAACACTTTTTATTAAATTTTACCAACTTTTGCCGTTCCGATTTTTTCTTCCAATACAATAAAATGATTCTTTCATGAAACTGAGTCGATCAGTACAAAAAAAAAACTAATCAGTTTTATTCATTTTTATGGACAATTCACGCTTGACCAAAAATTGTACCTTGTCAAAACTGTTTTCACAAAAGTCTTAACAAAGTATGAATATCGTTGTAGTAAAACATCATGATAATCAATAAATATTAATTAAGTTAAGCAATTTGATTTCCAAATACTTTTGCTCTCTGGAGTACGGCTCTGGCAAGGCATATCAACTGCGCTCGGCCCCGGGACAAGTCTCCAGCAGGTGCCACCAGCCCCCCGTGGCTCACCACCGCGTCCCGCAGCCCGCACGCTTCCAAAGCGCGCCAAATTTCCGCGTCCAAGTACTGCTTCAGCGGGTCCACGTTCTCTCGAATGGAGCCCGAGAATATGAACGGCTCTTGAGGTATCATGCCGATGCGCGATCTATAAATTTTGAAAGAATAAACGTAAGCAAGCAAGCACTAGGCACTGTAAGCGAGTTTACGCACTGCATCTTATTCGTATTCGTTCCGAATCCGAGACTATGCAAATCTAGGAAACTGGGACCCACTTCGGGTGTCGCTTGTGCACCAAGTCCGATTAAATTCCGAGAAAATACGAATATTGCTTGTACACCTAGAGATAAAATGATTCCTGTGACATTTCGCGTGCTTACGCGTATTCCATTATGTTTACACATATTCAACCAATCGACTTGGAGCGGCAGGAGGTTTCCCATCACTAAATAGTTCTTGTGACGTCATAGTGGGTACAAAAAAATGTGGCACGCTTGGTTTTTATACAAATTGCTGTACTTGCAGCGTTTATCTAGATATGTCTGTGACAACACCCGCATAGAACGTCAATCTGTCGTATCCGAAACCGAACCCAAATGACGTCACACTTGTACGATTACTCGAACTTCTCGACCGGCACGCGTTACCGACCGGTTTGTGGCCTTAAACGTTATTCAGAACACAGTTATAGAATGAAAATTACCGAACGCCCAAAGCAAGAATGTAATATGGAAATCTCTTATTATTATAAATAAAGTCTAGATTTTGTTCAATTTTATTAATTTATTTCAATGCATTCATATATTTTAAGCCTTTAAAGTCTTGAAAATGCATATAACAGTATTTTTAATTTTCGTATAATCTATTTCACCGACTAACTCCGTAAACGCTGTTGGATAACGATATCGTATCCGAATCCGAATGCGAATCAAACGTTTAACTCGGAATGTTCTGAATAGCTCGGAAAGCGCCCTTCAATTCGAGAACGATATCCAATTGAACGATTCGGTTGAAATATCGAAGAGTTCTGAATCGGGGTGCCGATACGAATCGGACGTTAGTGCGCAAACGTTGGTTCCTGAGGTAGTTGCGGGGTGTAGGAGGAGTGACAGTTTACGTAACAGTTATGTCGTGCTGCACACGGGATAATTAAAAAAAAAATTCTGACGCTATTCTATAACTTCACCAGCTCCCTTTACTTTACCTTTCAAAACCGGAACGCAGTAATGCTCATATTACTGCTTGGTGGCAGAAATAGTAGGTAAGGTGGCAGTACTTAACTGGACGAACTTTTAAACGCCCTTGTGAAACAGTTCGTCGAGGGAAGTATTGCCACCTTACCAATTTCTGCCGCCAAGCAGTAATGTCAGCATTACTGTGTTCCGGTTTTGAAGGGTGCTGGTAAAATTACAGGCAATTGGGACTTGTCAACTTATGTCTCAAGGGGATGGCAGCAGTGACAGTGCGTCTCAGACCGTTGCGATTTAAACCTGTGAGTGGCACTGCAACTGTTATGGACAGGCGTGTAGCGTACCATCAGACGCACGACTTGTACCTCCCGACACTTGATATTATAAATAAAACTTTCATAAGGAGCTCTACTGCTACTAAAATTCCAAAATTGAACTCACCTCAGAGCCCGCAAATGTATAGCGGCGAGATCGACGCCGTCGACTAAAACGCGTCCCCTGGTGGGCGGGACTAGCCGCAGCACGGCGTGCAGCAGCGAGCTCTTGCCCGCGCCTGTTCGCCCCACTACACCTAGCTTCTCGCCGGGAAAGCTCGAGAATGTCACGCCTTGCAACGCCATAGAGCCGTTTTCGCGACCGCTGCACACGTCATATTGCATATGATATATCAATAGATAGATTTTAATATAGCGGCTTATCTCAAAAAAAGTATGCCACTATACGCACACAAGACGCGCACACACTCAGCCGAGCATTAGGAAAACCCCGTATCGCGGGTGCCATGCACTCACACATAGACAACCACACATTACACCCAAACTCACGAGAAAAATAAATGTAGGCTATACAAATACTTATCCCGGCCCGGGAGAAATATTTGTAAGGCCTACATTTATTTCTCTCGTGAGTTTCAGTGTAATTTGTGGTTGTTTATTTATGGGCATCCGCGAGACGGGGTTTCCTTGGTGCGGGGCTATGTAGAGAGTTTCCTTAAAAAAAAAAAATATATGTAAGCAGTCTATTCATTAAATGATCACAAAGAACATAGGAGATGAAATTCGCATTGTGTAGTAACAAAGTTTCCATACAAAACTGGATTAGTTGGACACGGGCGGCGTCAGTTATATACCACTTACAGAAATGGTTTATTTTTCTTGTTTCGTGTCTTGTTATTTAATAACTTTTTTAATGCACGCTTTTTTGTAGGTCAGGATTGCACTCTTCACATCGCTTACCTTTTTTGTTATGCTTATTACTGTAGATACTTTTGTTTTTTGTTCTTTTTGAGGTGTTAACTTTTATCTTACTATTATCATAAGTTAGATATTTGAAAATTAATGTGGACAACTGTAATTGGCGCTAACTAGCGTTACATAAATACATTCAATGTAAATCGTTATTAATAGCTGTTGTTGTTCCGAATAAAATAAAATAAAATAAAAAGTACTTATTTTGTGTACTTCTTGTCGAAAACTTGGAAATCTTACCTATATTTGAGGTAAACGTCTTCAAATGTTATAACGCCCTGTGAAGGCCATCCATACGGCGGAGTTTCGCCATCTATTTTTTCACTTTCAACCTGTTATAGAAATTTGCGTTATGAAACTCTCTTCATTATACTTACTATTTAACAAAAATTTTAAAACCTAAAGGGACACTTAGAAAAAATTCCTTCGAACAGGCTGGATTCCAATAGCTGTAAAGGGACCTGGCTGAGTGAAGAAATAGGTTTCTCACAGATGGCGCTACGGCAAAAAAGTCGTTAAAAACTAAAACAAAGATCTGCAACAAACACATAGAAAAATTCGTGAGGTCCGCTGGTTCATTCCGTGACTTAGTTGGGATAGCGTCTGACACGATTTGCTAGAAGACGTTGGTACGAATCCAGCTGGATCGAAGGAATTTTTCGTAAATGTTCGATCTTTGTATTAATAATTATAACAAATTGGTGGAGTAATTTTACAAAAACACAATTGAATACCATGGTGGTGAAACATCTTGACATTCGATAAACTTAATAACCTAATGGGTCGAATGATCGAAACGACAAATCGATAGCGTATGTTTATGCCGTTAACGATTAACTTGAACTTACCTTGACGATCTAACGAAACGAGGAATCGTCTGTGTATGAGGGCCTTTAGTCTCGTGTTAATTTTAAGCGCAATACAGGGTATTAAAATCTTACATAAATCAACTGTCTTTATAATAATAAATATCATTTAACGCACACCAAAGATCGACCTCGGTAGTCCAACGGTTTGCACTGCAGGCGCTGGATGAGAAGGTCCCGGGTTCGATTCCTGGTAGGACCAATTTCCCAAGTTGTTTCTGCTCTGGGCAGCACCTTGGAGCAAATTTCGTTGCTTTTGTACTCATAATATGTTGGTGATGAGTCACACAGGGATAATAACCCTAGTACTGACTCTCACAATGTGTATAACAGTAACAAAAGTCTGTATTTTTGTCATAAGTAAGCCTTAAAGGGGCATTCATTATCCTGCATTGCAGTCCGCCTTACCGTCCGCTGCGTCATGCAGGATTATGAGGGTAGTCGCAGCATGCAAGCCGTCCTGCAATCCTGCAATGCATCCTACGAGACTCCATACGTGGGCCATACGCAGGATAGAGTATGAACAGTTTCCAGCCTGCGCTGCGGACTGCCATGCAGATAGCGATCATTTTATGAGAGTAAAAAACTTATCATTCATTCAATATCCCTAGTTTGAGTCCAGGTTATTGGTGCGGTTGAATAGCACAATATTCTTCTTCTTCTTTTAAATGTTATGGCTCCATCGAAATAATCAATGATTTTGCCAATGTCAAGTAAAAATAACTATGTACGGTAGTTTAATATTATTATAAAAATTATACAAAAAAATGGCGATTTCGCCAATGTCCTGTGAGCACAATATCATTATGAGATCTTTGATAGGTTTGATTGCATAAAACTGTTATTTTACAATATTTATAATATTGAATATTATGATATGTTTACTATCATGATATTCATATATTTTTTGTGAAAATACTCCACTAGTGTTGGCGACAGTTCTTACAGAATTTGTTTGTTTTTCTCACAGTATTTGATTTTCTCGCAGTTATGTGTTTTATACTTATATAAATGTGTGCAAAATTAATAATGAATGTTCTATGTGCTTTTATATTATACTCTGTGGAGTGATCGTAAATGTTTTGTTTCTGTTTGTATTTGTGCTGAATAAACGTGTTAGCTATCTATCTATTAGCATCATGCGTCTATTGATTTGATCGAGTATTGCTTGTTTGACAGTAATTGTTTCGGACGGATGTCGAACGGAGGACAGGAGTAGTCCCCCAGGGTTTATTGCCTCATCGCGACTACCGCTGTCACCAATTGAACTACAGACCGAGTCAGTAGATCTTACGAATTTCTCTTATGAGCTCGTTGCAGATCTTAGTATAGTATCGAGTTTAATCGGCTTTATTGCCGTAGCGCCACCTATGAGAAACTTATGAAAGTTTCTTCACTCAGCCAGGTAATTTTCTAGCTACCAAAGACTGACAAGAGATGTAGTTTTTTTCATTGAAATGTTTATTCAATTGAACATCATTATATTTTTACTACAATGATATTTATATATTTTTTTGTAAAAAATATATTCACATATTTTTTTGTAAAAAATTTTCAACAGTCTGTTATTATTATTAATACATAAATTGTTATTTTGATAAATAGCGTATGTTACCTGCGTGATGTATTCGCCGACGCGCTCGACGGCGATCATTTCGCGCTCGGTCTCCGTGAACGAGTTGAGGACGTTGCCCAGCATCGACGTCATCGACAGAGCGTATGAGATCGCCAAACCGACCAGACCTGGAAACAAGCGAAGGCTAAATACACTGGATAATTAACTACATTCCAGTTTGCATATTATAACACGCAACAAAATGATCCGACACGATCTTATTAACCAAATGTCTCCAAATGACGATATAGTCATTTCAAAGTGAAAATTTCGGTCACGCATTTTTACAGTTTGTCTATACTGATTTTTGATGAAGCAAAACCTATAAACCTATAAATTATAAATTATATATACTATAAACTATAAAGTGTTTAAGGTAGTTCTGCTTTTTTGTACCATTGATATTAACCACCTAATATAAAAAAACAATAACATCAGACAAAGTGACTATACCTGGATCAGCAGCATGCAATTCTCGCTGAAGCACCGCTAGCAACGCAGCTGCAGCGACTACGATGCTCGAGCTGGCCTGCAGCCGCAGCGATAGCCAGCACGAGGCTGCGGACGCGCACAGTGCCGCACGCTGCCACGCTTCGACCAACTCCGACCCGCGGTCACCCCAACTGCTAGCGGCACCCATCGCGCGCACTGTCGTCAGACCTGCGCATACGCATTTTGAAACAAGAATTAATATAAAATCTTTATGAATGAAAAGGTCTTGTCGCAAATTCGGAGGGGTGGTGTGTTCAAGGTTTATACGTTTATACGTGTTGGATACTAATGGATCGAATCATTTGACCCGATCACATCACGCATATATAACCCGGTTCATGATCGACCCGGGTTATCAAAATTTTTATCGATCGACCCAGGTCTAGTCGCTTGTGCACTAAGTCCGATTCGAATTCGAGGAAATACGAATATTGCTTGTACATCTAGAAATAAAATGGTCCCTGTGACATTTCGGACCGTCATTTCTTGGATTCGGAACTGGGGGGCTACTCTCGATCTCCGTCTGACATCCGTCCGAAACAATTACTGTCAAATAAGTAATATTCGTCAAAATTAAAAGACAAGTGTCCAGTATGAAGCTTCATTCGCATCACGCGTCTTTTCATTTGGTCAAGTATTGTTTATTTGGCAGTAATTGTTTCGGACGGATGTCAGTCGGAGATCGAGGGTAGACCCCCTGATACGAATCGGACGTATTGCGCAAACGCTCCTAAGCTCTCGAATGTCCGTGATATTGTTAAGGTAGTCATAATAACCGAAACCGTAGGAACATCGACAGAATCTTCAAATTATCATTTGGAAGTCCTCTCCCTGTGAACCCTTGCAAGACTAGCGGTTGTGCATTGTTACTTATTGTACAAAGGCCGCGTCGTATCTTTTAACTGGCGCGAGACGAAAGAGCTAATCACCCGGACGCTGTGAACGTACTTGAAAACTGGTCTGCGGACAGAATGACAGTGATCCGGCTCGAAGGACCAAATGTTTTGATCTTTGATCTTTGAAGGTCAGGTAAGGTCAGTAGTGCTAGCACAACAGGGCGCGACGACATAAAGCGCGATATACTGCTATTCTCGCGTAGAGAACATATCTCGCGCGCTCTGTTGTGCTAGCCTTACAGGTTCAAGTAATAGTTAAGTAGAGTAGGATGAAGTATGTTGAGTTGACGTAAACCAAAATGTCCGTAATAAGTAAATGAATTGAGTAAAAATTGTACAATACGGACTTGAACGCTTAGATAAGTATGTGGCCGATTGCTAGTACCGCAAGTTGTCAACTGCAATTATGGTCATAACGCGTGCAATACGTACGTTGGTAAGTTAACAAAAATACTGCATGGTGCAAAAATAGTACGAATATAACACGTCACATTCAGGGTTAATGAGAGGTTTTACACCCACACTACAACGACAACTAACCTTCAAGTGTGTCATTAAAATGAGCGTTGACCGGGTACTTTAAAACTTACATCACAACGACAACTAACCTTCAAGTGTGTCATTAAAATGAGCGTAGAGCGGGTTGTTTCAAATCCATATCACAACGACAACTAACCTTGAAGTGTCATTAAAATGAGCGTAGAGCGGGTTGTTTTAAACCCACGCTACAACGACGAACCTTGCAAGTGTGTCATTAAAACCGATCGTAACGTGGGTTGTTTCAAATCCACATCACAACGACAACTAACCTTGAAGTGTCATTAAAAGGAGCGTAGAGTGGGTTGTTTTAAACCCACACTACAACAACGAACCTTCCAGCGTGTCATTAAAACCGATCGTAACGCGAGTTGTTTTATACCCACACCACAACAAGAACTAACCTTCAAGTGTGTCTTAAACTGTGCGTAGAGGGTTGTTTTAAACCCACATCAGAACGACAACTTACCTTCAAGTGTGTCATTAAAATGAGCGTAGACAGGCGACAAAGTGACGCTCTGCAGACGTTTGAGCTGTCGCGATGTAACGCGGTACAATTGCTGCAACCTGTAGTATATCACTGCTAGAGGCAGCACTGCGACTAACAGCCACGGTAGGCCATACACAGACACTGCTACTGCGCCTGTTATTGGAACAGTTTTAAAAGGTTACATGACGACTTAAATTACTAAAAATATACAGGGTTTCCGGTAATTAACAGGTAAGCCTGAAATGCCTTACAACTTAATAAGTTACGTTTTAGTTTATGTCTGTTAATAAAACACAAAGTAAAATATATTATAAGTAGTACCTAAGATATGCATTTTTTTCTATAAAATAAATTATTTTTAACTTATTTTACTTATTCAACCACAAATGAATGAATTCATTGGGTTCAATATTGATGGGTCCTATAAGTTAAAAAATAAGAAAAAACGTAGGTATTTTAGGTACTACTTGGAATATATATTTCTTTGTATTTTTTAAATAGTCATAAGCTATACAGTATGGCATTTTAGGCTTATCCACTCATTAGCGGATATCCTGTATATCAATATTATATGGGATTACTTTCGTACAAAATTATATTTTTATACCCCTGATTTTATATTACTATTATACATCTTACCAATCAACGCGAAGAACTGAGCCAGTAATATATTCATAATAAACGGCAGGGAGTCGTCAACCGTGTACGTGTCTGACGAGAATCTGTTGATAATCCTTCCGGTTGGTGTGACGTCGAAGAATTTCACTTTGGCCTAAAAACAATCATACGTTAAATTAATAACAAAATACATTAAACTACAAAAGACATTGAGTTAGCTATGCTGAGCCGTAATAGTGACGAACTCTACGGACCTAGGGCCCTACTTTCGAAGCACGAAATCCGTAGTTACGACCTTTTTCCCACTATGGATGACCTACGGAACTACTCTCGAAGTCCGTCAACGAAAACACGGGCGCGTTCAAAACTGTCAAATCGCGTTGTCATACATTCTTAGTTAGAAGCCCAAATACATCGTAAGGAATTCGTGCTTCGAGAGTAGGGCCCCAGGCGTGGCGCGTAAACGCTTCTATTACAGAGGACAAATATACACCTTTTAAAAACAAGTTAAGTTGGTTATTCGTATCTAAATGTGACTACTCCATAGAAGAGTTCTTGTTAGATAGGGAGCTATAAGCAATATGGACAAATGTTCTGTCTCTCACGAACCACATACTTCCAATATACGTACAAATTTAGTAATTTTTAAGTGAGAATGCATATTTGAATTTCTATTAGAGTAGTTAATAGAGTTCATTAAAGTATAAAATTGTTATTGAGTATACATACATAAAATTAATAATTAGATTGCAATACCCTAACAGTGTTTATATGAAATACCATTCTCTGTACTCATGATGCAATAAATAAATATTATAAGATTCCGATTAATATTCAAAATTGGACATTTATAATTTGACATTTTATATATTTCATTATAAAAATATAGTGAAATAAAAATTTTATATTAATGGTTCCTCTGCGTGGATGTTAAAAATCCTTGGCAGTCACCCGTTGCACTCTTGAAGGCTGTTTCTATCTATAACTTTTGAAATAAATATTGTAAAAGAAAATTTTTTACAAATGTTTATTTACAAAGAGCAACCCAAGAGAGCAAGAGTTTCTTACTCATTCTGGTGTAGGGAATCTGTCTCATGAATAATTTTAATCAATGAAAAACAAAGATATATTTAAGATAAAATTTGAAATCGTATCTCGCAAATTTGACACTAGATGTGTCGAGTTCGTTAAATGTAAAATAAATAATAAACGCCCTTAAATTGAAGGCTTCAAAACGCGACTTAAATTCGGTATCCCTTATTGGGAATAATGTGATTATTTTAGTTTATAAACGAGTATGTAATATTGGTTCCACTCAGTATATATATTTTTTTAATTTTCAAATCGTGTTTTCTCTATTCCACAATATTTTTGAGTTATATATTTCATGTAATGTGCGATATATAAAAATAAATACGACAATGTCGTAAATATATGAAGCTAATAAGTACAAATACTATTATAATAGTAATTGGTTAAATAGTGACAAAATTAATAACCAGCAATTATCTGAGATAAAATAAAATAAATATAAACTAATAATTTGTTTAAATTATAATATATATTGTGTATTTATGGATGTAAAGTTTACGTACATGTATATACATCAATCATATTTATATTGTCATCATTTATATTTGCAAAATTTTAATTTTAATACATTTATTGTACATTAATTAGACCCGCAGAGTTTGTTTCTTCGCCATGGCTAGAGTCGGTTGGAAGAGATCTTTTCCAGAGATAATCTCACCCCTGTATAAGTCTTTTATAACGTGTTTTAATGTAGTTTCTTTGTGCATTAAATAATATATCAATTATCCAAAAAAATCAACATACCTTAACGATAACTTTCAGCAATGTCCTGTGAACTTTGGCAGCCGCCTTGACACCACCGTAAGCGAAGAGAAAGGCTCTTATGATCGTAAATACTAAATTCAAACCAGCTAGCCCAAAGTACATTTCTAGATAGAAATTGTCATTGTAAACGGTCACGTTAATTGGTGCTTGCAGAGGAGACACTGCATTACTTGTATCAGTTGATGCGTTCAGAATTGTATGTATAACATTATCTATGACGTTGAACCCATGGTCCATTAGAGTGGTATTTTCGTGAAGATCTTCCAGAGGTGTGTCAACTGAAGTGGAGTTTTTCCCTCTGCTTTTCACCCAGAAAGTAAGCCAGAGAAATGTGAAGTTCTGGGAGAGTTGCATGATGATTAGGGATAGTACAATAGAGATTGTAAGGAATATGCCCACAGCGCGGAGGTATAGTTTGATCACCCACCATCCCACTGTGCCTTGGGACATTGCTTCCTGAAAACGGAAATCAAATATTAGACATACTTAAAATTATGGGCATTCTCTGTGTTTTATTTTGACGTTATTGTAAAATCTACGGGCAAAGAACTGTTAAAATTTCTATTAGAAGTAAAATCTTACGGCGTACACAATATTTTTCCAATATCGAGGAAATCACACATTAGACTTTTAAATTAGAGATGAAACGGACATCCGGCAACTATCCGGTATCCGGCCTAATTTTATTATCCCATCGGATACCAGATAGTAGAGCAATATCCGGCCAGATACCGGATGTTTAAAACTGAGAAAAATTAACAATCAGTACGCCAAATAATTTATTTATTGATTAAAGAGAATAGTAACAATAAATAGCAAGTAAACGATCGGTGACAATCTGTTTGTTACGGGTACTGAAAGAACTATCAAGTTAGATGACGTAAATTTAGTAGGTACTCAAATTTCAATAAAGGCAAATTATGGCGGATTGAGACCGGTTTTTCTGCATTAAGTGCTAAAGTCGGTTTTGGTAGCGCTTTACGTTGTCGCTCAAAATCGGCAAGATCTTTGAGGTCCTCGGAAACATAATGCCCCAGATATTTAAAAACTTTAATTCATTTAAGAGGGGTATTATTTAGTTTTGATGAAAGGTTCATGGTTGATATGACTTCCTCGGGGCTCAAAGATCATATACTAGCTATTCTTCACGTTATTAGTCAAGGCATGATCACAGTACTACGCGCTAATGTCAAGCAGGTGTCGGATAGAGAGATATCCGGTATCCTGCCAAATCACTATATGTACGTTTCATCTCGAATTTAAATAATTAAATTAGTTTGTAGTGCTGAACTAAGAGACAAGAAAAACACAAGTGAAACCGTTAATGTGATTCGGTATTCGGAAAACACGTACTTCATCCTCTAAACTGTTTCGGCTGATAGTATCCTGATTGTCTTTTGGTTTCTCGATAGGCCGCGCGGGTTCTTCGCCTATCGACTCAGTTTCGCTCGGCAGATATTCTTCATTGTCGTTCAGTACCACCTCTGGAGGACCTGCGATACCACAAATCAGATTTGACTACATGTACATTCACATATCGACGAATTCGGTGGTCTGTTTGAGAAATGAACTTTTCTAAATCGGTTCTGATGTGTGCACGCTCCAAGCGACGTGTAGGCATTGAAGCGCTGAACAGGCGGGAGTTGCACTACTTGACTTATTATACTATTTGTATGCGAAGGAGGTATGAAATAGACTTGTGCCTGATCGGCCCCTTAAAAAAACGACCCTAGTTACTTCAATCGGTCAACTGAACTAGGTCGGCCTTCTATTTCATTTAGTTAATCTAGTTCCTTAGCTTGTCTTGTCCCTAGCGGCAGTTTTTTTAGGGGCAGCTCCATTTCTTTCTACATTAGTTTTGGTTATAGTGACCCTCCCTACCGACCCATACGAGAAGGGCACTATAACCTGTGCGTGCACAGGAAACTTATAAGTTCAGGTTCTGACCACAGGTCAGCCAGAATTGTCACAGACCTCTTTTACTTGACTTCATCCGGTCCTCGAAAGGCTAGTGCAGTAGTTTTTTATAACATCAAGTGACGGGACGAATTAGTTGTGCGCCTGATGGCAAGCTACTCGCCTGCCCATAACAGTTGCAGTGCCACTTATAGCTTTAAATCGCAAACGTCTGAGGGGCACTGCCATTGCGCTCGACACCCTGACATAAGTTGACAAGTCCTATGTGCCTGTAATTTCACCAGCGCTCTTACCCCTCAAAACTTACCTGGACGAACTTGTTCACAAGGAGCTCTGCTGCTACAAAAATTTATTATTAACTGTTTTACCAACGGAAACTCACAACGAAACTAACGACTTTGATTTAGTAAATTAATCTATATAATTATTATAATAGCTAACCATAAATCTTTACTTGAACACTCATGGTACAGATAATATAGATGAGGTTGTGATCGTCTGAGCGTATACCGGTAACTTACCCTGTGTAATGACTTCTCCATCCCGTAATAACATAACGGTACTAGCCCGAGCGAGATGTCGAGACGAATGCGAGACCAACACTCTAGTAGTATGCCTCAGCAAACCGAATATGCATTTTTGCATTATATGTTGAGCTACGACGCCATCCAATCCGGAGAAAATGTCATCTAGTAGATAAACTAAAACAAAATTTGATAAATAACCATTTAACAATTCTTCCAAAAGATTTGACAACTTAAGGGAATAGGCGCTGTTAAATTGTCAAGTTGTTTGAAGGCAATGACTTTTAAAGTTTAGACATTACCTACCTTGCTTTTCTTGATAGACAGCACGAGCGAGAGCAATGCGCACGCGCTGTCCACCGCTCAACGTACAGCCTCCTTCGCCCAAGTACGCGTTCCATCCCACCACGTTTAAGTCCTCTGAAAAAAGAAAATGTATGTTCAGATTGAGATTGCTGCGATTAATTACTTTCTCTGGGTGCGGATTCAGAACATTAGTGAATAATAATGGATTAATAAATAATTACCAGTGAGAGCACAAGCTTCGACAACATTGTGGAACTTCACTTCTTCGTATGGTTTCCCAAACAAAATATTATCGCGGATGGTGCCACGGACAAGCCACGGCTTTTGCGACACGTATCCAAACCCTAAAAAAAAACAACTTATTAAAAACAACACACAACACAAAAACAAATTAAAAACAAAGTAATTATTGACGCGTGAAGGGTAATCAGGGCATCCTAAGATCATTAGGGTATCATCAGTACAACAAACGTTCTTCTAATTCGCTCTTGTAACCTGATCTGTTTTATAAACATTTGAAATATTATAATTATTAATGCTAAGACCGAACACAAAGAAATATTCCTTATATTTGACAGAATCCGCAACGGACAGGTGCTGATGAAATGACAGACACATGGAACTTGTCAACTTATGTCTCAGGGTGTCGAGCGCAGTAGCACTGCCCCTTAGATCTGCGGTTTAAAGCTCTGAGTGACACTCACTGCAGCTGTTATGGACAGGCGTGTAGCTTACCATTAGGTGCACGACTTGTTCGTCCTGTCACCTATTATAATAAAAAAAGCGAATCTGCGTTTGTATGCCAATCAAGGGCATAGCTGCTACTTAACCTACAGATCGAACGAGCAGACTGTAAAAATTTTTCAGTTTTAACGACTTTTTTGCAGTAACGCTACCTGTAAGAAATCTATGAAAGTTTTTCTTCAACTACATCCGTGGCCGAACGGTTACCATGCTGGTCTGCCACGTAGAGGTCCCGGGTCGGGAGAAATATTTGTATGGCCCACTTTTATTTTTCTCGCGGTTTGGGTGAAATTTGTGGTTGTCTATGTGTCCATGGCACCCGCGACACAGGGTTTCCCTAGTGCGAGGCTATGAGTGTGTGCGTTATTTATTATTTATTTTTTGTATTTATATTTATTAATTGTCACATGTACATAGTCAGGTGTTACAAATGTGTTACATTACGATTAGAGTGTAGTATATGACCCTGAATAGGGCACTGCAAGTCAAGATAATAAATAGAATATAAGAAAATATAATGAAACAAAAAAAAAAAAAAAATTTGAATAGGAATTGAGAGGCGTAAATAAAAAATGTCAAAATTTAAAATTGACGTCAAAACGATTTTTAGAACTTTTTCACTTCAAGTTTCCTGACATTGGCATACAGACGCAGGTTTGAGTCCCGTTACTTCGAAGGCATTTTTCTTTATATTCGACCTTTGTGTTAATAGTTATAACAAACTAGAATATTAATTGACCCGTGACACAGGTTTTCCCTAGTGCGGGGCTATGTTGAGTGTGTGCGTTATTGTGCGTTAATTTCACAAAAAATACCATAATACTTAACAAAGTCAATATCACATTTCAATATTGATGTTGGTGAAGGCTTTTTTAAAATACACAGTAAGTTAAAGAACATGGAAATATTTGCAATACTAACCGTTTAAGTTCTCAGGTATTTCAATATCACCACTTTTCTTTACCATATCACCAATGATAGCGAGGAGCAATGATGTTTTTCCGCTTCCAACACTGCCAGTAATTCCTATCAGCTCACCTTTACCGATTTCTAGACTAATATCTTTCAAGGTAAAAGGCTCATCCTGCACAAGAACTTCAGCTGAGGACGCGGAATCTCTTCGCTGGATGGACAGTCTCTTTTTAGACTTTCCTTTGTTTTTTCTTGTCTTCTGCTGCTGTGGTTTTTTTCGCACAGACGGGTTGGCCCATGCGAACGAGGCGTTCTTGAATATAATGATTTTGTCCTCGTCGTGATTTGTATTGACCCTGTCATAATATTCTTCCGGGTCCATATCTGGAAGCTAAATTAATGTTGTAAATTTTGTTGGACAGCACTTTACGAACTGTATGTATTTCGATATTTAATCAAAATCGGTGTAGGTATTAAAATTAAAAAGATAAAACTATAGAAAGATTAGTAACTTGTTGCCTAAGAACGATGGAACACAGAATATTAGGTGTAAAGAGCATGGATAGAATCCGGAACAGCATAATCGATGTTGGGAAAAGGATTGCCAGGCTGAAATGGGACTGGGCTGGACACGTCTGTCGCATGCACTCACAGAAATGGGTTCATACAGCCACTTGGTGGCTGCCGGGGAACGGCCAGCCACGACGAGGCAGACCAAGGAGATGGCGGAACGACTTGGACGCATATGTAAGGGATGGGTCTAACATTGCGTCAAATAAGGAACTGTGGAAGACAAGAGGAGAAGCCTTTGCGCAGTCGTGGGATACAGTAGGCTAATAAAAAATAAAAGTAACTTGTAGCGTGTTGTACAGCCTAAAGATACATAGCTTTATATATAATTTAAAATAATGATAGTTTCTACAGCTATGTAGTTAAATGTACTATTAGGGTCAATTTATATTGCCACCGAAATGAATGGAAGCGAATTTTTGTAACAATATTGTACATTGTGGTCAATTGTGTAACGTAAATACGAGTCAAAATCTTCCGCGGAATTCTCGAGATTTTGACTCGTAACTAGTTTGTACGTTACACAATTTACCATAAGGTTCATTATGCTATGTAAAATGTCGTTACAAAAATTCGCTTCGATTCCGTTCCGCCGCAATATAAATTGAGCCTAAGGGATAAAAAAACTAACGACTCTGTACAAAAAAAAAAATTGCCTGGTGTATTAAGTGAGATAAATCAGCTGACGTTGTTTGATTAATACTCACATCCAATAGTTTCTGAATGCGTTTGACAGAAACCCATGCCTCCGTCAATCCATTCAAAACCCAAGGAAACGCGTTGAGGGGCGCTATCAACATATTGATCAATGCCACAGTGGTGAATACCTAGAAAATAATAAAATCATGTGACTGGTTATTTAGCAAAGTTTTTCTAAACCATTACACATTCCCTGACGATTTTGTTATTGTAGCATCCTATAGCCACACGGTATCACTACCGTGCAGCTGTTTACATCCACCTATTTAAAAAATTGTAGGCGCTGTGCGGCGACAGTAACCGTCTACGTATAAGCCCGTTAAAGGGATTTTTTTTACGACACCAAGTGACAGGCCGGACAAGTCGTGGACTTAGTGGTACCCGACATGCCTGTCCATAACTGTTGCAGTGCCACTCAAATCGCAAGGATCTGAGGGGCAGTGCCACTGCGCCCGTCACCCTGAGGCATAAGTTGACAAGTCCCATGTGCCTGTAATTTTACCAGAACCCTTACCCTTCTAAACCGGAACGTTTTTGAGAGGTAAGGATTCCTTGCGGTAGAAATAGGTAAGGTGGGAGTACTTTCCTGGACGAACTCTTTCACAAGGTCTACTGCTACTAAATTAATTAAATAGGTTACATTTAAGAACCACTATTAAATGTTTTATTTTGGATAAAAATGAAAAAGGGGATTAACGTACTGTGGGAGCATCGAGCGGTTCTCCACGTAACGCGTGCGTGCCGAGTGTAAGTGCGGCCACTAGGACTGGTGTCGTTGCCCACAAAACCACACATATCGCGTCCAGATACTTTCTACCGCGTAGATATCGCAGCTCCAGACCGCGAGCCTCTGTAATACAAAGTTCGTGTTTTCGATTTTGCTTTAAGTTGAGCCCATTGCAACAATCTATAATAAACTACGCCTTGGTGCAAACTCTTGTACATTGGTAATGTATATTAACAATTAAAAAGCGGTTCTTTGTCATTATAAATCTTTGCCTTATTTCCACTTGCATATCAATCGTAACAAAGATTTTTTGACATAGGCTGTCAGCGCTAGTACCACCTATAATGTAGGTATATAATAGAGGTATATATTCTTTTTTTTTATTAGACCTAGTGACTGGACGAACAAGTGACTGATGGTAAGGTCAGTCTATAGCAGTTGCAGTGCCACTCAGATCTTTAAATCACAAGGATCTGAGAGGCCCTGCCACAGCACCCGTCACCTTGAGACAAGTTAACAAGTCTCATGAGCTTCTAATTTCACCAGCACCTTTATCCTTTAAAACTGGAACGCAATAACGCTGCTTGGCGGCAGAAATAGCTAAAGTGGCAGTACTTCCCTGGACGAACTCTGTGACAGAGAGCACTACTGATAGTACATTATTCGTGAACCTAAATTCGCGTGACAGACAAAGAACTCTAAAGCAAATGATAATAATGTAAGATTACATACTTTATGCGAAAACAATTTAGATAAACTGTATATGATTCGGAATGAGTCATATGTACACCCATCTGTACATATGTACCATATCGAATCATATGCACGAAAGATAAAATTACTTAATTATATGTATAATAATAATAATTACATTTTGTTTGCAATTCACGCGTGTTTAAGGCAGCGCTGCAGTGTACAAATGTGGTACTATTTTACCTAAATTCAGTCCCTATTCGTATAAGTAAATAAGCTCAAACTCACCTGAAATTTTATTAATAAAATAATCTTCCCACACGTGTACTTTGACAGTTCTGATGCCTTTCAACATATCACTAATCAAGCTGACACGCGTGTCTTTATGCCTCATCAATTCTGTGCTGAGCTGGCCGATTTTGTTTGCTATTACTCTGTTAATAGGAATCAATATGACTGAGAATGCAACACCGGCTAGGAATGAAATGCCCACTTGTTGGTATAGCAAAAACAAGGTGATTAATAACTGAAATTAACAGCGAAATTACACAATGTTAGCTTTTATGAATTACATTATTATTTTAGTGAAAATTAGTATCTAAAAACGCATATCGCCTCTACGCGTATTAGACCCTTCTACTTCCCTGTTCTATAATAGATAGAGTCACATAAAATATGAGATAATAAATAATGAATAAATATTAAACAACACAACATACATTGCTTTTTTTATAATACTAAGCGACGGGACGAACAAGTCGTATGCCTGGTGGCAAGCGACAGGCCAGTTCCTAACAATTGCAATGCCACTCAGAGCTTTAAATCACAAAGAGATGAGGGGCACTGCCACTGCGCCCGACACCTCTGAGACGCAAGTTGACTACTTCCATGTGTCTGTAATTTCACCAGCACCCTTACTCTGCTTGGCGGCAGAAATAGGTAAGATGGCAGTACGTCCCCGGACAACTCTTTCACGAGGACCTCTACAGCTGCACTGATGTCAAAGTAAGTAACTAAAGCACTTGTGTTACGGAAGTCGGAAACAGCGACGGTTTCACAAACATCTAGGCCCAAGACAATACAGAAATGCTAGTTTTGTACCTTGATCGAACACGGGACCTCTGTGATGGCGACACCATGAATACCGGTGTGCATGCCACTCGACCACGGAGGTCGTATATAACCAGAAATAGAGACGAAATGTCATTTAATTTGTTTGAAAACTATCTGCGCTCCGATTGGCTAGCCCGAGTTCGAAACAATTGACGGGTGTCATCATTGACCTTTTAGTAGGTCAATGGGTGTCGTCAACTGTTTCACTTCAAATCGACCAGTTAACTTGAGCTTTGCTATAATGGACGAAAATTGCAAAATTACATATTTAATATTTAATTACCGATGAAATGTGATTCAGTTTGTTTTGTAATTAGATGTTTTGCTGTTTTTCCTACACCACCGAATAGAACAGCACGCCATTGTTAGAGATATTATCTTTATTACAATAAATACAGAATATTTTTTGGAATATACGGAGACGTACACAGAGGTCAGTAGTTGGCATGTCTATATTTCAGTGCAAACGAGAGTTGATATTTATAAGAGCTGTATCGCTAATGTGTTACCAGGAATATATGACCCTTATTTCGTCTCTATTTCTGGTTATATATTCGATGCGAACACCAAATGTCACACCATAGAAACCTCAATTTCAAAGTGGTTGTAGTGAAAAAATAAATTTCTAAACAAGCACTCAGAAAAAAATCGTAAGGTCCGCTGGTTCGTTCCGTAGCTTAGTTGGCATAAGGTCTAGCACGGTTTGCTAGAAGAGTCGGTTCGATCCAGCCGGATTGAAGGAATTTTTTGTAAGTGTTCGATCTTTGATGCTTTGTTATTAATAATTATAATAGTGAAGTAATTTCACAAAAAATAATTGAATATCATGGTTCACACACATATATACATACATTCAATAAAAACTTGTATCTAGTTTAATTTTCTACTTATGAATTTTAATTTATTGTTGGTAATCTTAATTTTCATTGTATTATACTAACCTTGTTTCTAAGGTTTTTTACTAACAAATGTGGATATTTGTTATTTATCCGATATAAATTATTAATATTATTATAAAATCTATCTATCTCTATATGGTGTTGTCACATACCTGAAGTGGAATACTCCAAAGTGCATGAAAACTTGGACACGAATTCACAATTCTATCCGTATCAGTAGACATGAAATTCGTTATCTCGCCGACTGAAAAGGCCTTAGTAAGTTCGGTGGATGTGACACTGAGAGTTTTCCTTAATATCGTGGCGACAATGGCTCCTCTCATCTTGAGACCAATGAGCGACATGAGCCAGTTGAAATGGACATTGAATAACGTAGATATTAACGTGGCAGCTAGGAGACCTGCTGCGTAGGAATACCTAAAAATGTTCATTCCTTAAAGACCAAAAATAATAAAGACAAAATTTTTTTTCTCGGATCTAAATAGCGTATATTGTTATTTTCAAACAAACTTATGTTTCAGGTTATTTACAGGTACCACTCAACCACAACCGTGGAACCTATAAACAGCCTGAAACTTGAAAATTGGTTTCTTTAAAGAAAGTATACGCGATTTAGATCCGAAAAATAAATATATAATAATAATTAATATATACAATAATAATAAAAACAAAAAGTAAAACATGGTGATATTCAATAAACTTAAGTTGCAATTATTAAAGCGACATCTCTACTCAGCTGTCGGTACCTGCAAAGGTACCTGGTTGAGTGAAAAAATAGATTTCTCACAGATGGTGCTAAAACCAAAACAAAGTTTCGCAACAAGCACATAGAAAAATTCGTATGTTCTGGTAGTTTGATGCGAAGCTCAATTAAATTATCCTATCAGTAATTTTTCAAAAATGCTCCTAAGTTTCTGGATTTTTCTCAAAAACTGTCTTTATACATGACACAGTACAGTACAGTAACAGATACTCACCCTAAATGGAGATCAATAGTGGTATCTTCAACAAAAGCAACTAGTCTATTCAGCAACATAGGGCCAGCAAACCCAGCCATATCGGAAACAAGTTTCAGCAAACCAATGCTGTAGAATTGTACAGCAAAACAGCTGTGCAGAGCTCTAAGTAGAGATACATTTTGTCTCCGCGGGGGCCGTACTAGAATACGTGATGTTGGTGTTACGGGCGTCGAGGCTTGAGGAATTGATTCACCAACTGCGCCGTATCCTGTGGTAATAGTAGTTCAAGTTCGACACGGAATCACATTATGGCGGCCAGAAAAATCTTTATGTCAATGTAATAAGAGCGAAATGACGTTATTCAATTCGCGTCGGCGGCGGTCCCAGCAGAAGCGAAACGCACAACGTCTTTTTCTCTCTTATTGTATGGTTTAAAGCTGGTTCTGACCGGCTCAAGCCGATACCCGGTTAATAACTGTGCTGACTCCTTTATTATGCCAAGCATATTTAGACACTCAAATTATATAAAAGGAAGATCGTCAACATTGATATTTATCGAATCGTGTGAAGTTTTGCCAAAGTCACAAAAGTTTTTTATTCTTTTCAAGATAATGGAGACTCACTTATCTTTAAAGAAGAACAATTGATTTTTTCGTAACATATGTTTATACAATATTACGTTATATTATAAATAGTAAATGTAGAATAATAGTGCATGCATCAACATTTTTATTGCTTTATTGTTTTTGTAATTAACTTATGATGATAAGTTATTCATCATCGTTAACCCATAATAAATCCCACTGCTGAGCACGGGGTTCTTTAAGAAAAGAACTTAGTGCACAGTCTACCAGCTGGCCCGTTGTGGTTAGGGGACTTCACACGTTATCCAAGTGTCGTGAACCTTATTCGGTGTGCAGGTTTTATCACTATGTTTCCCGTCACCGTTAATAAAGTAAATATTTACAAATGCATGTAATTTAGAAATTAAAGCAGCAACCGTGCTCCCCCTAGGGTACCAACGCTAATAAAATTAAAGTTATTTATTGGATAAAAGTATACAAACATTGAAATAAAATAGACCTGTACAAAAGAATGCATTTGTAGGTAAAATTTACCTGTTGTGATGAATGGCTCATGAGGCACTTCAGTAAATTGCTGGTAGTGATCAATGTTGCCAATCAATGCTCTGTCCATCCGAGCTGCTACATAGGAGCAGCGGTACCTTCCAGGAATGTCAAATAGCTCCTCTAGATCAGTTAGCTTGTTTGCTAAACCTGAAAATGGTAGAGATGGTTTTTTGTTTTCAATTTTTATTTTTTTTAATAGATTTGGTACAGCAACCATACAGTGCTAAGAACAAAAACAAATATTGCTTTTTAAAGTTCATAAGTTCATCTCATATGTGAATGAATATAAAAAGTGTCAAACTCTGAGAGAAAATAAAATTTAATAGATTTGTACCCTGAGGGCGCATTTATTCGACTTGAATCATCGCGCTCGCCCCGCGCGGAGACCGCGTTGCCACAGCGCGGAGAATGCGTTGCCGCCGCGCAGTGACCGCGTGAATCTAACTGTCATTGCAAAATACGCTCTATTCATTTAACATTTGCGTTTTAATTTAAATGAGCGTCACGGGCGCGCGAGCGAGGCCGGCATGAATTTGGTCTACGCCCGGTGACTGCGTAGCGACCGAGTGGCAGCCGGGCTGCGGTTGTATTATTCAGAGTAATTTAAATATTGTTAGTAAACAGAATTTAAATTCGCCATTAATCTACATGAAAGCGTGGTCACTGGGCGGTCGCCGCGCGAAAACTTTCGCGTCATGTAACTGAGCGTTTAGGGCGGCATCAAATTAGACACTCCTCAACTGCGCCACTACTAATTCTCATATAATATTTAGAAGTGCAGCTGAAGCGTCAGAGTCGCGACAATTTTGCAGTCTAGACATTGCATGAAAATTAGTGGCGCGGTAACAGCGCCATTGCAGCGCTTCCACGAGTGTCTAATTTGAAGTCGCCCTTTGATTTATTGGTGATATTAACTTATATTAACATGATACATTCTTTGCATGGAATACTATTGCGAAAATCAAATACTTTACAATTGTAAAATACCTTTCTCAAGTAGTGGATTGACCCATGAAAATATTAGTTTGTTGAAACACCCTACGCCTTGCATTGCAGTTCCTAGCACTCCTTCATCCACATGTGGGAGAAGTGGAGTGTATTCACTCTGAAAGACATTTATCATTTTTGAGTCATGATTATTATGTCCGCTTTAAGGCTGGCTCTAACTGCCGTACTGGAAAGCACAGGACATTAAATTTATCAACATATTTTATACTAATATTTATAATAATTAAGGTATTAATGCTCTGAAACCGACTCAGTTTTAATGCTCGAGAGACTCTGCGTCTCTCGAGCATTAAAATTTATAAGGAGAGGTATTGTTCATAGATTGTCATACTACAAGATTTCAAACAATGTCAAAAAGTTTCGTGAACCTTTCCAGACATGCAGTATTCACCACAATGCCATGACAGCAGCTATAATTAGAAAACTACATTTAACTGCACTGATGCAACATGACTCAGTGATGCAGACCTCTACAAAGAATCAAATTAAATGTTTATTCATCATATAGTCTTTATTGCAAATATTCAAAAGACTTCACCATTATGTCACACACCAACTTCAAAAAAGTCACAAGAAAAAAATTATAATATTTTGGGTTTTGTTAAAGGCATGTAAAGAATTTTTTCTGCTTTGCAACAGTCAATTTCCAGTTAGCTAAAGTCATTTTAAACAACTGATCAGTAAATATTTTAAAATATAACTGTTACATTTTTACTTAGACAGTAACACCTAGGTTCATGAGAGCCTGGTAGGTTGGTCGCAAATTTAAAATTTTGCGCTTATGTGCCTAGACATGATTAGTTACACTGTTATGTAGGCAAACATGATATGTGATTGCAAGACATGATTTTGGTTGCGGGAATTCTCATTGGAAAACTAACCATTCTGTAAAAGAACAGATAATTACCAGTCCTTTCTTTTGGTTTGACTCAATTTGGCTTGATCTTAGTGATGATGTTGATGTTATTTTACTGATATTAATATTCTATTCTTTACAATAAATATACTTTATTCGAAGTACTCACATGTGTGTGCTGAGACCCGACCAGGCAAGGAGAATAAAAGGTTGGCCTAGAGTGACTTGAAGGGATGAGAGTGAAGAGATACACTCCATGGCAGCAGAGTGTGGCAATGTCAAAGCCAATAATTGATCCATTTCTAATATTAGTGCGCAGTGCCACTGAAGTGAGCAATGCTGATATAAACCACAGGACTAACTGAATGAACGGGCCTCGCGAACTAGCGCCAAGTCGATGCTTCAGTGCTAACACATACCCAAAGTGCACAACCCAAGCTAAACTTGCAGAACCTGCTGTAAAGTAATCAACTGGGTACAAAATGAAATCTTTTTTCGTAATGAATATGTATAACTCTATGATTGGTATAAAGACCAGTGCTAATGTAACAAAACTACGAATAACTATCACATGCTCCTGCGCCTTCTCCCTGATCACCCAGTCCTTTCTGTATCCAACAAAGAAACCTGACACTATAGCTATGATAAAATAGACTGGTATTTGTAGGAATAACTCCTGGAAGCACCCGCCAAAGTCTTTGTCCACATCGTTCCATGGTTGCAGGCCTGCCGGCCCGCACATATCCTCCCATTTCCATTGTATGTCCATAAACCGCGCCATATCCAATTGACACTGTCTAACGGTCACAAAACATCACTGTTGTGTCACTGCATGAATGAGTTTGTCACTGATTAGATATTTTTCTTTGTCAATCTATTACAATCGATTACTTTACGCCAGTGCAATGTAACTAAGATAGGCAAGTCAATAGTCAACATAACACTATGATTTCTGTAGGTATGTCTTGGGTGTGGAATTTGTTACCTCAGTTTTATTGTAAGTTGAAGTCAACATTGACCCACTGTTTTTTGCCTAGTCCACATACGCATAAAGAGGGTACAAAGTATCTCTTATTTTGTGATCCACATCTTCCAAGCAATTCCGCGAAACCGCAACACGTCAGGTCAAATTGACATTTGACAGTTACATAGACAGTTTTTTTTTTGGCCTTTCGCGGTCAGCGTTGAAGCCAATTACAAGATAAATTAACTTCATTTAAAAACAGGGAAACCTTTTCGTATGTTAAGGAATTTTGGAAACGGATTTAGGAAAAAAACGGGTCGGGAGAGGAATTTCATGTTAGGAAATTTGTAGAACAGACAATAAATAATATTATATTAATGATATAGGAACCGTCTAAATTTTTATATTGTTTTCCACAATAAAGTTACATAAATACTTATAAATATGTGAATCATTACATGATAACAGTACCGAAATGGACGTAGAAAGAGGTATACCTGATTGGATAAGATTTTGGAAGAGTAAGGAATAATCATATTTAGGGCAGTTTGAAAATATGTGGTCCAAATCTCTAACTTGGCCACATTCGCATAAATCACTATTAACGATGTTCAATTTCGCAAGGTGTGCAGGAGTACAAAAATTTTGAGAGCCGGGGTTATGTGGGACTGGTAGCAGCCCGACCGCACTAAGCCCCCGGAGTGTTCCTCCTCTCCGCTGTAGGTGGGGATACGGGTACGCTGTTGCACTCTTCCGCGCCCCCACCAGCGGCTGGCCGCGCTCTGCGCAGCCCCTCCCCGAGAAGGGAGACACATCGGACCCCCGACTACGAATGTAAGGCTCGCCGAACACCCGACGAGCCTTCCATCCCGGGCCCCTTTATGCTGGGCAACGAACCCCCCGAGTCCGCTACCCAGGGGCCATGGGGGGCCAGGACAGCATCAACTCAACTGTGAAGTTCAGTGGCTGCTCCCCCAGCCCCCGCGGTGGATCTGATGACAGGCTCCGCCGCAACACCTAACGCGCTTCCACGCGGACTCTCCGGAGAGAGTCCCTTGGAGCGCCCACCACGGGCCAACCGCCCACATTCGGCCGCGGAGGATAGGACGAGCGGCAACGACACACCGACACGTCTCTTCCCTCGCGGCCCCGCCGCCACTACATCGTCGAAAGCGCTGCAGCCCCGCCAGAGTCGCGGAGGACAGGACGAGCGGCAACGATACACCGACACGTCTCTCCCCCCGCGACCCTCCTCCTCGCGCATCCACGCGGTCCCGCTGGCCAAACGAGCCCTGCGCGGAACGCCCTCCTCCTCGGGACAGCCTACCACCATCGGCCGGCCCCGTGGGTTCCTCTTAGCTTCACCGTGGGATGAAATCGACCACGGCTACTAGAGCCCCACCGCCACGACAAGGCGGGAACCCCTTCCGGGGGGAGGAGTACAAACATGACCCAACCGCATTCGAATCAAAACAGATGTAGTCAATCTATTAAAAAGTGACGAAAACCATGGTTTTACAGGAATAGAAGGTTGAATGTAAGCATAAGATTTACCTTTTAATTTACTGCTTTCAGACCACATCACACCCCAATAATGTCTAAGGAAATGTATAGGAAGGGTTGCCAAATCGTGATTATAATTTTTATAGTACGCCGTGTCCCCGTCAACAGCAGCATCATTTACGAGCTGATCAGCACGATCATTTCCATGAATACCGGAATGACTCGGTATCCAGGAGAAAACTACAGACAAGCCTTTCGAAGAGCAAGCTAACAACAAATTTCTAATTTTGAGTATTACCTATTGGGCAAAGCATTCGCGTTTTAAACGGAAATCTAGACAGTGCCTGAAGTGCACTTATAGAGTCGGAAAAAAATACAGTATTTCTTAGCTTAGCTAAGAGAACGTACTCGACTGACTTGTATAAACCGAAACACTCTCCAGTAAAAACAGAAGTTTCTGGAGGCAATTTAATTTTTTGAACAATGTTATATTGTTGATGATACACACCAACGCTAACAACGCTGTCGCTGCCATGCTTAGAAGCATCACTAAAAATGCAGTACCACGATTGGAAGTCCCTGTGTCTAATGAAATTGAAAGTATGGGAGTTTTCAATAGAATTCTTATTGATACCTAAAGACAAACGGATGTCCAGAGATAAAACTAAAGCTTCGTATTTAGTAGAGAAAAGAGGCAAACAAAGGGAGTTATGAATTGGAGTTTGCAAAGACAAACACTTACGGAAACTAATAATCAGACAAGGAAGAGACTTTTGAGTCCAATAAGGAGATGTTGATGCGTCAGTTGAGAGGCGTCGAAGTCGTAACAAAAAAGAATGTTTTGTAAATTGCACGCAACGGAGCAGATATTTATCGGATAAGTATTGACGTCTCAATTGAAGAGGAGGTTCCACACACTCCACTTGCAACGCATTGATGGGACTCGACTTCATTGCTTCCAGAATAATTCTTAAAGCTTTAGATTGCACTCTATCAAATTTTTTAAATGCCGATGAGTAACATGTGTCAAGAATAAAAGATGCATAATCAAAAAGACTCCTAATAAGTGAATTATATAATAATTTTAAACAAAAAGAATGTGCTCCCCACCAAACACCCGTTAAACATTTGATAATATTCGGGTTTTTGGTTTTTCTCACATTTAGCTACGATGTAATCTAAGTGTGGAATACCAGTAAGCTTGGAATCTAAAATAACCCCCAAAAATTTACTTTGAGGTACAAAGGAAAGAGGAATATTATTATAAACCACTTTAGGTATTGGTGGATTATGCTTTATTTATTTATTTTACTTTAATTATAACGGACACGCCAATTACAATAATTAAAGATACATTACTAACATAAGAACTTAATAAACACAACAAGATTAAGTACCATTCAAGCATCGCCTTCACAATAGCGTAGGCATCTTAACAACAGTGACCATCCATCCGCAAACAAGTCGCATTCAGGGTTGGTGGCGAGGAGAGAGTTGAGCGTGCACAGGGAGCGCGGTATGGGTGATTTAGCGCGCGCTACGGTTCGGCACCACGCGGTGGCCATCAACTGGTGTCTTCTAATGCGATGGTAGTTGACGGGGGCAAAGAGTCGACACAGCTCATTATGCAAATCAGGGGAATCTATATTGCCGCGGAGAATTTTGCACATAACCACAAGTTGGTGTTTCATTCGCCTAACCTCCAGCGAGATGTATCCTAGACAACCCAGTAGAAAAGCAGTAGGATACATAAATATCTAAGAAACGCTTTCTGTACTTTCTCTAACATAATACTATATGTGCTTTCATGTGGGTTCCACACACACATGGAGCTCTCCAATTTACTTCGCACTAATGCATTGAAAAGAAGTTTGATCACGGAGACACTTTCAAAATCCTTACAGTTTCTAAGGATGAACCCTAAACGCCGAAAAGATTCCTTGGCAAGCGCTTCGATGTGGTCATGAAACGTTAACCTCCGATCGAAAACTACACCCAAATCTTTTATGGTGGTCAATTGAGTTACGCTATCTCCACCTATATTGTAGGCATAAGTTATCGGATGCCTTACCCGAGCGAAAGTCATCACATGACACTTGTCAGTGTTAAATTCCATAGCGTTCTCTAAACTCCATTGGTGTACCGAATCGACGTCGCGCTGGAGAGCTATGCAATCCTCCACCGATTTGATCTCCAGGACGAGCTTCAGGTCATCAGCGTAGAGCAAACATTGTGCGAGGCTGAGAACATTAGGGAGATCGTTCACCATGAGCAAAAACAGGAGAGGGCCAAGTATACAACCTTGGCTTACGCCGGAACGCGTATGATATGGACTAGATTCATACAAACCCAGCCTGACATATTGTTGACGATCGCGAAGATAATCTGCGAGTAGGCGAATTAGGCGCGGAGAAAAGCCTATTTTCCCAAGTTTTTCCAGCAGAATGTCGTTATTGACCCTATCAAACGCCTTCCGAAAGTCAAAATACAGAACGTCCACTTGTGACCCACGATCTAAAACCTTCGAGATAAAGTCTACCACGGTTAATAAGTTGGTCTCAACTGATCTTTTGGGTCTGAAGCCATGCTGCTCGTTGCAAAGAAACCTATTCACCTGAGCATAGATTTGATGGTGGATTACTCTCTCCAATACCTTTGCCGGAGCTGATAGAACTGCGATGGGGCGATAATTCCCCACTCTGGACTTATCCGAGGTCTTGGGTATTGGACTAACCCTCGACAATTTCCACTGAGGCGGATATTTACCGGCCATCAATGCCAAATTAAATATGTGGCAGAGGGGAATGCATAAATCTTTCTTCGCCTGTGTTACGATTATGGAAGGAACGTTATCTGGCCCAACAGCGCTCTTTGGCATCAGCCTGTTAATGCCATACAGAACGTTCTTCGCCATAAACGGACAGATGTTTATATAATTACTGTCGCAGCTAATATCTGCATTATAATCATTGTTGGCATCAAGTAATGGGACATCCGGTAAAAACACACTAGCAAAAAAGGTGGCGAAAGCATTTGCTGCTTCAACCCCCGAACAGGTCTTACCTTCGAATGTTATGTTGGAATCGAAACCACCCCTAGTTCGCAATGCGGAGATGTGACGCCAAAATTCGTTAGGATTGCACTGTATATTTTGCTCGATATGTTTCTTAAAAGAAATGTAAGCTAATGAAGTACGTGTTTTAAGATCGGCTCGTAATGCAGAGAAAAGTTGGTAAGTAACTTCACAGTTTGATCGTTTCCAAGAAGAATGCAATTTCAATTTCCGATTTGTGTCAAGAACAATGTCATACGTAAACCAAACGGGGTAGCGTCTACCACCACGTTGTTTGCGTCTCTTTTTGGGCATACATTCTTCAAAACAACTGTATATAACATTGTAAAAATTGTTTGTTGCAGTAACAACATCCATCGCACTCAATACTGAATTCCAAGAACTCTCCGAAAGTAACGCTAATAACCGATTGTAATCGCACTTGTTAAAATTCCAATCCTTTGAAGGGTTAATGTTAGTCGGATCTAGAGAGTTCGCGTAATAATCAGTTTTTA